GGTACTGATAGGAGCATGCATTATAATTGGCTCTATTTTTCAAGTTTTTTTTCTTTCAGAGGAAAATTCTCAGCAATTCAACTAGATTATTTTCAACACTTACATTGGATTATTCACAGAAAGCTAAACCATCAAAACATAGCATCGTTCTTATGTCTCTCCAGGACCCGGTTCATATTTTTGTGTAACTGAAAACCAAGACAAAAATAATCCATCTTCTGTGATAACTGGGGGGATGTTAATTAGCACACAAATAACTCAATGCTTATTATAAAGTCCTTCAAATTAAGTGAGGCAGTAAATTCAAATTTAAGTATCTAAATTGAGGCAAACTAATTCTGAAGATCAAGCCTGTGGAGACAAATGTTGTTAATATCACACATACAAGTAGCCTGAGAGTGCTTTGAAGGCTACTAGTGTTGTGGAATACAAGGTAAAGATCATATAAAACCAGCAAATAAAATCAGCAAAAAGAAAGTAATATCACTGAAATAAGAACTAAGTGAGACTGATTTTCTACTGACTCAAAGGTTTGTGGCTTTGCTGTCGCAGAAGGCATATGCACCAAAGGCCGAAGGATATTTACCACTGAAGCATTTATGCAAAGCTTTTTTTCCCCATGTTGATTCTCCATCTAGCAAGGCATAAGTTTTAATTGTAGCATCATCCCCCATCAGAGTCCTTCTGCTCTATCCATCCACCTGTTACCATGAAACCTACAATAGTTTATCAACATTTCTGTTAAGTTTCACCAAACCAGCCAATAGGTTCAAAATGAAGGATCAAAACTGATGAAGACTCTGATTGTTTAAGCCTTGCTTCTATAAGAAACACTGAAAATACAAAAACATAGGTAACAGTTCATCAATATATGCTATGAATGTGATTCATGCGCAAATTATTCACAAGTTATTAACTGTATATATGACTATGACTCATTAAGATAGTACAAAAGGTTCCTTGACTCTGATCTTGCTGTTCTATTCAGAAAAATACATTCAAGCATCTGACGTTCGTGTTTTACAAGGACATGTTTGAAAACTGAAGCACAGTAAAAGTACATATATTTTTTTTTTTCCAAATGTCTAATAGAACTGAACAGAAAAATCTGCAGAAAATGTCAATCAGAGGCTGCTATGCACAATACAGACGGGAAAATTTGCATCTTTCCCTTCTGACGGAAAGCACAGAAAATATTTTCATCTACCACAACTTTCATCCTGAACTCTGTATATGCAATAGCAAGGTGTACACAGGCCCTTCATTGCAACAGATTTTTATTTATCATGGCCCACACACCTCTGTGGATGGCCTTGGTCACAAGCAACAGGTTATAGAGAGGATTTAAATCTGCTCCTATCTAGGTACCTGAGATCACCGCCCACAATGTCCATCATCCATCTTTAGTCCTAAAGAGCCTCTATGCTGACTACAGTCATGCTGTTCTCTTAACAGAGTGCAGAATATTGACGCTCAAAATTACACACGCCCGTGTAACAGCTACAGAAGGCAGGGAGAGAAGCTCAAGAACATTCTCCTTGTGCTTCGCCATTTTATCTTGTGTTTCAGCAGCAACTGAATCACAGCAACTGCCCTAATCAGGCAGGGCTCTAAGCAGGAGTTTCCATACCAGTTGAGCAGCTGCCTCACGCCTCTTCTAACAGATCTATGCCCCTACGGCTACGCAGAATCTTTTTCAGTCTGCACTATGGCAAACTTTGAAATGTGCTTTGATACATGCCTTTGACATGCTGAGGCATGAGTGTAAGGTAACAGCTTCTCAGCAGCTTTTCTCTTTAATAAATATAGATATTTGTGGTTTCGTTCACTTCTAACCTGGTTCAAAATCTTCAGTCAGGATATCGATTCACCATCTAATAATCTTAACTTCAGAAACTAAATTCTTTGAATAGGAAAACGTATTACAATTAAAATTAAAACATCATTCTAGAGCATTGGAGATGGGAAAGAAATTACTTTTGTTCTACACTCCATATTGGTAAATGTTACAATGGGAAAGCATAACTGACAGAGTCACAGAAAGCAGGCTGCAAAGAAACCACTGATCAAAGACGGGATCAGTTGCACCAAAAATATTCCTGCAGGATATATTTTTTTTTTTTTCCTAAAATGATCTAGACAATTAAATTAGGTACAGGTAGGAAATGTTTCCTAAGGTCCAGCACAAAGCTGCCTTGACAAAGTTCAAGCATTCTTGTTCTCTCCACACTGGATACAGAACGGTTTGTTCTTTTCTTTGCAGTGGGACTGACACAGCCTTCGTGCGTAACAGCATTCTGAAAAAAACGCTGAAGAGCCCCGTTTCACACAGTACCAGTACAGTGTGGCTGAGGGTGGATCTCTGGAGGTCATCTGGTTTAACATCCCTGATCAAGCAGGGCCACCTAGGGCCCACTACCCAGGATCATGCCCAGATGGCTTTGGAAGATCTCCAGGGATGGAGACTCCAGCAGCTCTCTGGGTAACCTCTCCCAGTGCCCCATCACCCTCACAGCAAAAAAAAAAGGCTTCCTGATGTCCACAGAGAACATCCCGTGGTTCAGTTTGTGCCCACTGCCTCTAGGACCTGTCACTGGGCACCACTGGATTGAGCCTGGTTCTGGTCTTCTTTTCACACTGCCTTCACGTTTTCATCTTTTTAGCCCTTCACTGGACTCTTTCCAGCAGCACCATCTTTCTCTTGCACTGGGGAGCCCGGAGCTGGGCATGGTACCCCAGCAGCAGCCTCACTTGTGCTGAATGGGCAGGATCACCTTCCTCAGTGTGCTGGCAAACAGCAAATTAATAGTGGAACTTAACAAGCTCCTGGTACTGTTGCATTATTTATCATTCACCAATGCTTTTAAGTCCTGTCTGGGAAAAGAACTGATGAAAGAAGAAGTTGAAATGACACTCGGATACTAAATAAGATCTCCTAATCCTAGATTATTAAAACCAATATGTTAGTTTTGTCAGCTCTGCCAGCTGCCTTACAAACACACTTGGGTCAGTCCTGAGGAACAAGGATTTTCAAATTCATCAGAGGGATCTCAGATAAGATTGAACACGTATCTACCTAGGAATCCTCTTAATCCTCTTCAGAATTCTGACCAGGTATCATTAAGAGTATTAGCAATAGAAGAAAAGTTGCTTTGAAGGGACGTCAGACCTTCACTTCATGAATTCATAGGAGGAAGGCTTACACAAAGCCTTACATGAAGGTCAATTTTTTCTCAGGTGGAACATGCATGTAGCATATGAGCACATGGGAGCACATAGCTCATAAAGAAGGCACAGAAATGTCTTCCAATCCAGCAAACCCCTTTCTCACGATGATTTAATCTTTTTTTACCCCATTATTACACAATGACATTCCTAACAGAAATTATTGTGTGTGCTCTGCCTCAAATATTTAAAAATAACAGTTGTGCTGCCTGAGATTAAGACAAAAAAACGCCAAACTCCTCTGTTTTGAAGAATCCAATTAATCCTTGCAGGTGGTTTGTACTTTTACAATTATACTGCACTTGACACTTCTGCCGAGGATCTTTGCTAAATGAATTTCACACACTGAACTACAGCATTTCTAAAACAGTGACTTCATTCTACCTGTAAAAGACCTGTGCCAACGAGCCATAATATGCAGTCCAATTAAGAGAAAACTGTTACTGCTACGTTACGATACGCTGCAAGGTGTGAGACTGGCCTAAACTTTACCGTTTAAGACAGGCTACAGTGCCAATTGAAACGATGATAAGAAAATCATCTGTATTACCCAGGCATGCCATGCCTCACACGGCCTTGGTTGGTATTTTCTCCATCAACAGTTACCAGACAGATGGATTATCACGGGCAGCACCTGCATTTCGGGCAGCACCATGAAAGCATAAAGTTTAAAACCTAATCTCCTTTTTCTTCAGAGGCCCAGCAAGGATAGAGCAGCACACTGCAGCCAGGGGACATGGATCAGGCGAGATATCAGGGAGGAATTGTTTGCTGCGAGGGTGGTGAGGCACTGCAACAGGGAGGCTGTGGATGTGGATCCCTGGCAGTGCTCAAGGCCAGGCTGGATGGGGCCCTGAGCAACCTGATCTCGTGTGGGGTGTCCCTGCCCACGCACGGCGTTGGAACGGGATGATCTTCAAGGTCGCTTCCCACTGTTTACGGTTCTATGAAATCGCCCTTCCTGGCCATGCCCCCACTTTGTCTCACCCCACAGGGCCCCAACATCACCCACATCCCGGGAGCTCCGGCGCCCCTCATCCAACTCCGGAGAGCTGCCAGGCACAGCTTCCCAGGGAAGCGCTGGCTGCGCCGCTTCGCCGGGGAAGGCGGTCCGTGCGCTGGGAATGCCGCCCCAGCGCCCACACCGCCCCGAGCGCCCTCACGCTCGGCCCGCCCGCACCGCCAGCGAGCGCCACGCGTGAAGCGCGGCACGCCAGGACAGCGCGGGCTTCAGGGCAGCCAGCAGGGCACGGCGCTCCCCGCGGGATCGCGGAGCCGCACGGAGCCGCACGGAGCAGCACGGAGCCGCACGGAGCCGCACGGAGCCGCACGGAGCCGCACGGAGCAGCACGGAGCAGCACGGAGCAGCACAGAGCCGCACGGAGCGGTCTCCCCGCCGCTGTGGGGCGAGCCCGGCCCCACGGACACCGTGAGGGGGCTGAAGGGACCCCGGCCCCACACCGGGCCGCGCATGCGCGGGGCCATCCGCTCCCCCAACCGATCCCCCGCGCCCTGGAAAGCGTTGGAAGGGCGCGAGCCCCGCCCCGCCCCGCCCCGCCCGCCGCTGGCCAATCACGACGCGTCCGTGCCCCTCCCTCCTCCTGACGTCACCGCAGCGGCCCCCTCCGACTGGCTGCGGGGTGGGGGGGGGGTGGTAGCGCGCGGGTCACGCGGCGCGGCGGGAGCCAATGGGAGCCGAGCGGGCCGATTCAAACGGCGCGGGGCGCGGACGGGGGGCGGTTGGTGCGCGAGACGGCCGTGAGGGCTGAGGGGACGGAGAGAGAGACAGAGACAGAGAGAAGGCTCCCGCCGCCATGGCCCACAAGCAGATCTACTATTCCGATAAATACTCCGACGAGCAGTACGAGTATCGGTGAGAGGCTGCGGGAGGCTCCGCTGCGGGGATTCGGAGGAGCTGCGCCGGAGCAGGGCGGCTCGGGGCAGGCGCCGCTCCCGGGCCGTGCGCGCTGCCCGCACCGCAGGGAGCGGGGCCGGGGAGGGCGCAGGGCCGCGGCGAGCTGAGCCTCTCCGTGCTGGGTTTTCGCGTGGCTTTGGGGCGGGTGGCCGGCTGCTGCTGTGGGCTGGCCACGCTCGCCTGGCGAGCGCCGAAGGCAAGCCCCGGCCGCAAGGCGATGGGGCGCGCGGAGCGGCGCCGCCACAGCGAGGCGGTTGTGGCAGAGCCTGGGATGGGGCTGCGCCGGCCGCTGCTGAGGCTTCCTTGAAAGCGGTATTACAAATGTTTGTAGAAGTCCAAAGTCCTTACTTTTTCAAGCGGCTGATATGGCAGCCGCTTGCCAGGAACGCATACTTATATAAATGGAGCGTGAAGGCGAATTAATCTCCACTAGAATGCAGGTTGGCTTCCAGTGTTTAATTGCATTACAGATGTAATGTTTAATAGCCATAAGTGATTTTAAGCTCGATTCTGAGACAGGTTTCATAATCAAAGTCGTGGTAAGAGTCATATCCCCTAGGCTTTTTTTATAGGAAGAGTTAAGTATTCATTAGTTGCTTGCTTTCGCTGTAGAGATGTTCTTTTCTAGTGTTGTGTGTGTGTTTAATAATTAAATCTCTACAGACACGTGATGCTGCCACGAGAACTTTCAAAACAAGTGCCAAAATCTCATCTGATGTCTGAAGAAGAGTGGAGACGTCTTGGTGTTCAGCAGAGTCTTGGCTGGGTTCACTATATGATCCATGCGCCAGGTGAGCACATCTGAACAGAGTTAGATGAAAAAAAGTGTCTAAAACATTAACTGCCTAGTACTTAGCTGAAGCGTGTAATGCGTAACTCCTTGTGCTGTGGAATCCAGCTGGAATTAAATACTGAATGTTTAGACTCCTGCTTATCTTCTTGCTATTTTAGCCCCTTTTTCAACAAAGGCAACATAACCTTAATACTTACATAGGTTAGGTCCTCTATTAGTGCACTGAAAAATCCACAGTGTAGTTTAAACTCTAGCTACAGAGCCTACTGAAAAATCAGTATTTCATTTAATTTATGGGATGTGAAGCCCCAAACTCTACCCATGAGGATGCACTGTGAGAAGAGCCTTGCCAGGTAACTTACCACAGACAAGCCTGACTAAAAAGTAACAGGTGATACGTGAACTGCAGCAGCAGTTGGAGGTCCAAGTCTCTGAAGAATCAGGTGAAGAAATCAGTGTAACCAAGTGTTTCCCTTACCTTGTTGCCTTTGATACTTTAGACTTTTCTGGAGGTGTTTAGGATTAAGTCACGTCAATAATAATGTAAGCTAGCTATATTAACTGAAGTGAATGTCGTTGATGCTTGACATGATGTACCTAACAGACAGTTTGCCTAACTTGTTAGTCTAAGTTTTCAGTAAGAGTTCATCAAATAGCCCAATGTAAAGAGTAACTAAAAATATTCTCTATTTTTTCCAATACTTCCTTCTGTAAGTATCTTAAGTTTATGATACTGCTACCACTTGGTGTAAAACTAAAAAATACCTGTTTGACTGTTATAAGGGTACCGCAAAGTTGGTCTGTTAATATTACACCTGGAGCCATATTTTGACTTCTTGATCTACTTAATCTGATAGCAAGCTTCAGCTATCATCCCAAACTTCCAAAATGAAAGAAATCCCTTCAAATGAGCCTCGAGTGACAGACTGATGCTTTCGATTTTCTTTCCACAGAACCGCATATTCTGCTCTTCAGGAGACCTCTTCCAAAGGAGGAGCAGAAATAAGCCATCACCTCTTCAATCTTCTGGAACTATGTATATGAGTGTATATATGTTGGTAGTATTCAGTGAATACTTTAAATTTACAAAACATGCATCCAAACCTGTGCATGAGCTGTATTATTCACAGCAACAAAGCTCAGTCAAGTGAAATTTCAAGTAGGCTGCTATAATGTTCAGAGTGGATGACTTTACCTTTACTGTCAGTGCAAGTGCCTCTCCGAATTAAATTGCTTCATGTTTGTGTTGCACATTCTGGTTAGATGTTCACTTGTTATCTGTGTTTAGTGATTTTTGCACTCACTGTTTCTGCTGTAGCGTAGTATATTCAAATTCAATAGTTCTGTTTAGTAGTAAGTAGGCTTAAGAAATAAACTGCTTTTAATGTTCTATAAAGCCTCAATGCTTGGAGTTCTAATTTACTGGTCAAAACAAGTATTCATTGACTAACATTTTATGAGTACCTACTTCAGTTAACTTGGTGAAGCTATTAATGATTATTTGGTATAAACTCTGTGTTCAGTACTACATTAGCAAATTTGCAGATGACACCAAACTGGGGGAGTGTGGATCAGCTGGAAGGCAGGAGGGCTCTGCAGAGGGACCTGGATAGGCTGGAGAGTTGGGCTGATTCCAGTGGGATGAGGTTCAACCAAGGGCACGTGCCAGGTCCTGCACTTTGGCCACAACAACCCCTGCAGCACCATGGGCTGGGCACAGAGTGGCTGGAGAGCAGCCAGGCAGGAAGGGACCTGGGAGTGTGGAGTGACAGAGTGATCAGACATTGGAATGGGCTGCCCAGAGAGGTGGTGGATTCACTGTCCCTGGAGGTTTTTAAGATGAGGCTGGATGTGGCACTGAGTGCCATGATCCTGGTGATCACAATGGGGTTGGATCAAGGGTTGGACTTGAGGATCTCAGAGGTCTCTTCCAACCCAGTTAATTCTATGGTTCTGTGATTGCATAGTGATGTCTTCATGCTTGTTCAGTTAACTGCTAGTACCAGTGTCATATACATAGCCATAAATTCATGTCAATAAAAGAATAAACAGATTGTAAAACTTAATTACACCCCCATAAAGAAATAAAGCAGACCGTTTGTAAGGCCATCAAGATCAAAAGCTTTAAATCATCTCTGCTTTCCTAAAATGAACTATATGATCTTTTAGGCGTCTTGTAGTCTAAGAATGTATGAATTATAGGAGAACTATCACTGTTGAAGAGATAACCTAGCTCTAGTTGTGAAAATAAACATATGGTATATGTATATGTCATCATCATCATCATGGCTGGGCTTCGCAAACGAAGATTTGGGAAGGGCTCTACCCATGCTTGCTACAAGCACACTGATGGCTGAAAAAGCCAATATGAGATAGACAAGTCCGGTTGCAGAAGGCACAGCAGAAAGACTCCCCAGGTGATATAGACGAGATGCGATTCTTTCTGCGTTGTCTTTTCTCCTCGAGAGTGATCCTGCGTGTGTTCTCAAAAGCAGCAGCAGCGTTATAGATGGTGTGTCTCCAGGCCTCTCGATTGGAGGCCAGGGTAGACCAATGGTGATGATCAATACGGCCAAGGCTGAGGGATTGTTTCAGGCAGTCCTTGTATCTCCTCTTCGGGGCTCCTCTCTTGTGGCACCAGTGGCAAGTTCCCCACAGAGCACGATCTTAGGGAGGCGGCAGTCCTGCATCCTGGAGACGTGCCCTGCCCAGCACAGCTGTGTTCTCAGCAGCATGGCCTCAATGCTCGTGACTGCTGCCTGCTCAAGGACAGAGTGTTGGTCACATAATCAGACCAGTGGATGTTTAGAATTGTACGGAGGCAGCGCTGATGGAAGCGTTATAAGAGACGCAAGTGGTGCTGGTAAATGACCCATGATTCGGACCCATATAAAAGAGCAGACAGTACAACGGCTCTGTAAACACTGATCTTTGTACTTCTCTTCAGGTGTTTGTTTCGCCACACTTTTTTATGGAGTTTACCAAAAGCTCTGTGTGCCTTTGCTAACCTGTTGTCTATTTCTGCATCAATCTTACCATCCGAGGAGATGATGCTTCTCCGGTAATTAAATTACTTAACTGATTTAAGCTCTGTTCACCAATGGTGATGTAGGGATGATGGGAGACTTCCTGAGGGGGATATTTAGATATTCAGAGACCGCTCCTCACCCCGGCCCGGCCCGGCCCGGCCCGGCCCGCCCGCTGCGCCGTTGCTGGGGCGTCATCACCGCGCGCCGCGCGGGGCCGGGCCCGGGCCCCGCCATGTCGGCCGAGGGGCGGCCGCGCTCGGGCCGCGCCGGCGAGGTAAGGGCGGCCAAGGGCCCGCAGCCCCTGCCCCTGCCCGGCTGCCGCTCCCTGCCCCGGCGTCTGCCCCGCCGGCCACCCCTGCTCCCCGCCGGGCAGGGTGCGGCGCCTCGGGTCAGCCTTGGGTTCGGGACGGGGAGAGGAGTCCTGCTGGAGGGGCAGGACCGGGGGGAAGAGTCCCTGTGGAGGGGCAGGACCGGGGGGAAGAGCCCTTGTGGAGGGGCAGAACTGGGGGTAAGAACCCCTCTGGAAGGGCAGGACCTGGGGAGGGGGCGCTGAGGTTGGAGCGCGGCGAGTCGCTCCCCACCGCTCGGGATGGGGAACCCCGGGCGTAACTTAAGTGTGGAAAGCTCTTGTTGTTCGGGCTGGGGAGTGCTGTAAGGACAGCGTCCCAGCCGCTCTAGACATGGGTGCCCAGGCTCGGGCCGGCGTTGTGCACACTGGTCAGGCTGGGGGCTCTTGCACATCAGCCTGCGGTCACGGCTGCGTGTCTTGGTGACACGGCAGTCAGCACCTCCAGTCTCATTTCGTCGTCCTTCCGCGTATACGTACCCAGTTTTAGCTCGATGGTAATTCAGAACAAATGGAAAACTTGCCCTAATAAGTTTGTGTTGTGCCAGAAACAAGAAGGCTGTTTAATGAGGTGTTGGGTTTAGGCAGACTGCCCTAAAATACAGATGTGCACAAAGACGTGATTGTTATGTACTTCCAGAGTTTGATTATCAGTAATGCTAATATATTTATGAATTTTAGCTTCTACTGCTCAAATATGAAGAATTTGCATATTTGCCTCTGTCCTTTATGTAACTGACCTTTGTGAGTGTTTCATGATAAATGAGGGTATTAAATAACTTTTCAGAGCAATCCCATTTTGTTTTAGGATTCCTTTTTTTTGTTTGTTTTTTTTCACCCTCTCCCTCCATTTCTTTTCGGTGAGTTTATTGCTTTGCATGTTCCCTTAGGAGAGAGCAAACTAACACTTTCCAGTGGCACTTAAAGGGTCACAAGACTTGAGTATTTCTCACTTATAACATTAATCTCCAAGTGCATGTAGCCAAAACCCGTTTTGTTTCTCAGGGCATCAAGTTGTCAGCAGAGGTCAAACCATTTGTTCCAAAACACGCGGCGGTAGCTGTGGCATGGTCAGAACCCTCAGAAGCATGTGTCTTTCCTAGGTACTTAACTACATGCTACCCATTTGTTCAGGAACCATCTTTGGATAAGTATGTACATTTTTTTCTGAATCTTATTTCTTGGGGGATTTTAACCTTCTGGTTTTTTTTTTTTTTGGACGCTGAATATACTCGTCTGAAGTCAAAGGCTCCGATACATTCTAACTGTAGAAGTGCCTCTGTGTTGCCTTCATGATTTAGGTTTTTACGTCTGTGTTCTCTGGGCATGTATCTGGTATCTTGCTCCCAAGGGCCTGTGTTGTTACGGAGCATGAAGGAGGGTTTGGTGGTCCCTAGTGATTGATGTGGCTTGTTTGTGCTTTGGAAGGGGCTGAATCCAGCCCTTGGGTGAAAGAAGGGTTACACAATGAGTGATCTGGGGTAGATACCGTTGTATAAAAGGAAAAGAAAGGAGTCTTCAAGAAGGCATCTCATCCTGTGAAGTATTTAATATGTGGGGCCTTACCTGGATCTCCTCTCCACATCCTCAGAAAGGCAGTTTTAGTAAGAGTGCTGTGGGTTTCTAGAAGTCTTGGGGGTTTCTGTTTTGTTTTGTTTGTTTTCTTGTTATTTGTGGTTGTTTGTTTTTTGTTTTTTTTTTTTTTAATTTCAATTAGGGCCTGAGAAAAGGCATTCATGAAACCCAGAGTTAAACCCATCCTTAAACCCAGAGCAAACTGGAAAAAAAGCCTACATAGTAGGATGGGAAATAACTGAGTCTCGTAAGAATCTGATGGTGTTACAGAGTTCCCTCGTTGCTTCTCAGGACCCCACGCATTGGATTAATTATCCAAGGTGTCCTTACAAGTACAGCTTTAGTAAACACAGTCACTGCAGGCCTTAATTTTATCCTACAGGAAAATCTCAGTATTTGCAACCTCTTTTCATTTGTAATAGAGATTTAACGTTGAGGTGAGTATGGCCTGATATATGCTTTAGGGGAAAACCACAGCATTAGCATTAAATCAATTCATGTTAAAAAAGCCAACAAAACAAAAAACTAGCAGCAATATTCTGATGAATGTTTTGCCTTGCTGGGAGTGGGACGTAGCTGTATTTTTGAGTCTTATTTGTTATGTTTCTTCTCTGTATAAACCTTATTATAAACATTGTTTTGACTTCAGTCCCTCAGAATTGCAACAGGCAGCATGAAATGTGCTATCTGAAGTCTTCTGTTCTGATGGGAAAGTTTCTCTGTTTGTCATTATCTACCCAGAATTCCAGGGTTGGCCACTTCATAGTGAACAGCTTTAAAAACTAAATGCAGCTTTCTTAAGCTGAGAAATTTCCATTCCCCCTGATGAAATCTGGACTCAGTGTATATTTTCTGGACAAAAGTGTGGATGGAAAGTGAAAGGGAACTTTTGAAAGAAAAGAGTCATGCCCCAGACGTTGTGTTTTCATAAATTGTTATGGTTAAATGTAGGTCAGTTAATTATTATCTTACGAGTCTATGTCATATCTCAAACATGGTTCATGCTCCATGAAATGGTATACTCCTGCTTTGTTATTATGGCATTTTGAGATAGGTTTTAACATTTTTTTTTTTGCAGTCAACTTGTGCCTCATTTCCTGTCGTTACACTGTGCTTTTGGTTTGTTTCACAAGAAAAAAGCTACTGAAAATAAATATGAAGGCATGAGAACTGTAACCTCAGAGCAGACTAGCTTTGAAATTTGGATATTGATAACTTCTGTACTTTAAGATACTTGCTTAACCGACTGCATGTTTTCACAAAACAAAATCAATTATTTTTTAAGGGGGTGTGTATCAGAGTGAATGCTTAAGTGAGATAACATGGAATAGTTTTCTTTTGAAACAGAGCTTTCTTGTTAAACAGATTCTTTAGCCAAGGAACGATGTGTTTGTGTAGATGCTGGAGGCTTGCACCAGGATGACTTTAATTTCTTTCTCAATGTCCATCACATAGTGATCTGAGAGATCCTGCCTTCCGTGAATACTCCGGCTGCTCTTACCCACCTGACGTTGTTGCAAACGTGTATCCAGTAGCTGGCTCACGGTATCGTTCTAACAGCTCAACAACACCCTATAATAGTTCAGGAATAGTCAGTGAATCTTCTGAGCAAGCATATCCACTCAGGCAAGAAAGTAAGAGTCTTCCAAAGGTGAGCAAATAACGTGGTTTTTGTTTTTTAAAAATGAATATTCTTGTTTTAAATCAACTGTATAAATGTTTGGTTCCTCTTTTTAAAGTGAACATCACTCTTGTAGTGATCATGAATGGCATTTAAAGAGGATGGACGTGTGATGTGCCCACTTTCAGATTACCAAAAGTTCATGGGATTCTACACTTCAAATTGATAGTTTTTCATGCAGCATTTTTGGAACATGAGGGGAATTTAATTTTTTTTTTTTTTCCTCAGCAAGCAGCATCGAAGGGAGAAAAGAAGGCCATTCATTTGGGAACTGTGCTTTCCATTGCTCACTATATTTGGGCCTGGGGGAAGAGAGGAAGGGCTGTTTTTGAGTCTAGTGGCAGCTTCCATGAACCTGAGTTAAGAGGGAGAGCTGTGGGACTGCTAAGTGATCAGACCACCTGTTTTTGAAGGACATCTAGAACTTACTATAGGTAGAAGATTTAAAACAAGAATATTAATTCTGTGATCTTGTAGTGGCTTGGGCTAAGCTGTGTGCTGTCTGACAGTCTTTGTCATTGTTCCCTGTCATTTATTTTTTTTTCGTGAACTTAAGAGAAATGATTGATCTTTGCAGCTTTGAATTAATTTGATCACGTCTCCCAAAGCTTTAACAATTTAGCTTTGGAGATCAAGAAATGCCTTGTTCTCACACTCAGAAAAATAATCCTGCTGCCAGACCCACTTTGAATTTAGTCCAGCATCCTGTAATCAGAAGGTTAAACCACTTGTCTGGGTTGGTGTAGTGTGTATTCCTTGCTTGCCACACTGATTCCTACACCCAGCTCTGCTGAACTGTGATTCTTGGAAGAATCACAAGGCTTTCGTGACTGTACAGTATAAGTGAATGGGTGTCCTTTGCAGGGATACATGTGTCTTTTCTAGCTACTTTGTCTGCTCCAAGATTTTTGGATGCTGTGACATCGGTCTCATGAAGTTTTTGCCGTAATATGTAATTTAGTCAAAAGATGGGCAAGCTTTTAAGATTTTAGCCCTGTTCTAGAAGAAGCTCAGATTTAGAAAATTGGATTGGATGATTTAATACCAAACAATTTTAAATTATTGGAAATGCTCTGATTAATGAGGTCTTAAAAGTGCAGTCGTGTAGAAGTTACCCATCTAGCTTGAGCTATAAGTGCTAAAAATGGCACAGTTAACAAGATAGATGAAATTAAATAACACATCTCTAACTGGCTGTTCCTGTTTTTTGTTGGTTAATTGTGGTGATGGTACACTAACTATGTTGTGTTAATTTGGTGGTCAAGCTCTAGGTGGAGAAATGGTTAACTCAGGGCAAACTTGCTGACTTTACAAAGTTAAACTAAAGCAACTAAATATCTCAAAAATACTTGCAGCAGAGGAGATCCAAAGAAAGTGAGAAAAAATTGGACAAGAAAAGGCATGATGGAAGTGACTCTTCAGTCAGAATTATGAACAGGACTTCATTCCCGACTCCTGCATGCAGCAGAGATTCCATGAAGCCAGGTACCAACATGTTTTTTGGTTAGAAGTTCACAGGATAGATGTAAAATGGTTGTCTGTGCTCTAGCCTGCAGTTTGTGATCATGTCTCTAAACCTAGAGTAGCTAAAGAAAGAGGTACCTTTCCTGTGTGACTGTTTATGAGAACGGTGACTTAGGTCTTTTGCTGGTTGAACAAATTACAATAAACTGATTCAAAATGTATCAAAAAACGAGCACCTGAATTTACAGTTACTTGTTGAGTCAGTGTTGTGTATACACTGATTATAATTGCTAGGTTTTTTTATTTAATATGAGCTGTGTGTAGCAATAATCCTCGAGATGATTCCTGTAGTTATGTTAATTAGTGTGCTACAAAACGTACCTAGAAATGATCACAAGCAAGTTTAATTACTTGGACTTTACATGCTTTATTCAGACAGGTTCAATAAAACTACAAACAAGAAGTCAACTCAAACTCCAAAACCAGAGTCTCTTCCTGTACCCACATTTGAAGCTAGCATTCTGGATTTCCACAAGTCACAGAGTTTGGGAAGCAGTGAAACACTGAATGTACAGCACAAAAGTGCACCAGTAAGTTCAGTGGGAAGTAGCACTACCTGCCTTAGCCAGCCTCAGCTATCCCTCTTGCTGAGTACAAAGGTTAGCCAACGCTTTCATGTTGCAGAACTCATGAAAATAAAGCTTGTCTGAAGTGCAGGCATTTCTGAATGCGACTATTTTGTGTTCAGTGTGATAGTTTAAGACCTAGCTAAGTACCTTGCAAGCAAGGATTTTCAGAGCTAGAGGCTGTCAGGGTTTTTTTTGTAGGTGGTGGTGTCAGTGCTTGCAGTCTCTCACCCTTTCTTACTGTTCTTTCCTTCTCTTTGCTGCCAGTAGATAGAGGAAAGCCACGTACCATTAGAATGTAGATTGGTCCTGCTGTAGGTCTAGACTTCTATTGCCTACACAGACCACATGTATTCCTGAACTTTCTCAGCAGCTTGTTACCTGATAGGTAACAGATTTAAGAAAAAAAAGAAAGCTCAAGTCTGCGTTGTTGTCCTTAATTGCTTTGTGCTCAAGGATAAAAATAAGAAACTGAATTCCAGGAGGAGAAAAAAAACATTGTTGAGATGTAAGGATTTAAGTTTGTTCTTCTTGATTTCCTTGCCTCCTTGTTTGTTAGTAAATAAAATACTGATGACGTACAACAGTATGTCATACATATTGAATCAGAGTTTTCAGCAGTAATAAAAAATTAATAATTTTGAAGGATCCAAAAAGATTAATATTTCCAGTGCCTCTGAGTAGGAAACTGCCTGTGATGGAAAAAAGACCTTTTTGATATCCCTTAAATATCCTTTCTCATTACTTATTTGAGTTTGATTATGGACTTTGTTTCAAGTATGCTAAAAACATCAAAATATTTTATTGTTTGTTGTTAGATCCTGTTTGGATGCTTTTGTAAAATGCAGAAGGCATCTCTTCTCAGCAGTAAAGAGACATCTGCTTATATTTTGTAATGCTGGAGGGTTGATATGATGGTTCCACTAAGAAAATCAAAAGGCTACAAAATTTTCTACACCTTTGTCTGTGGATGGTTGGAGGGTTTTTTAATTTATGGTGGGGTTTTTTTTGTGTGTTTAGCACTGTTTAGGTTAGTGATTTTAATCTTACTTTAATGATACCTGATTATCTGTTTACAGGAAGATGCTTCTGCAGGGAGCAAAGCTTCATCAAGAACTTTAGGTGAAACAAGAGCCTATTTAATTCCTTCTTCATTTGTTGGTAGAGGTAAGGGCTCCAAATGCAAAATTATTTGCCTGTATTTTTTACTGCTTGCATCTCATCAGTTTGGAAAACTAAAGTGTTCTGAGGAGCTGTGGATGTGTGAAGTAAAAAAAAAAAAGAATTAAAGAGCAAGTTCATTACAACAGAAAAAAAAAAAAAAGCCCAGACAGATTAAACTGGATCACTTTCTTTCAAATGAGATGACCACTTACTGCTCATTGTTGTTTCCACCTGTTTTAAATACCTCCAGGGATGGTGACTCTTCCAATGCTTGATAACCCTTTTGGTGAAAAGAAATTTCCTAATATCCAATATAAAATTGCCTTGGTGGAACTTGAGGCTTTTTCCCCTTGTCCTATTGCTTGTTGCATGGGAGAAGAGGCAGAACCCCACCTGTCTGCCACCTCCTTTCAGCTGGTTGTAGAGAGTGGTGTAGTCCCTGCTGTCTCCTCCACTCCAGGATAAACAACCCCAGCTTCCTCACAAGGCTGGTGCTCCAGACCCTTCTCCAGCTCTGTTGCCCTTCTCTGGACACGCTCAAACACCTTCAGTGTCCCTCCTGAGCTGAGGGGCCCAGAGCTGGGCACAGCACTCGAGCTGTGGCCTCACCAGTGATGAGTACAGGGGGACAATCACTGCTCTGGCCCTGCTGGCCACACTATTGCTGACACAGGCCAGGATTCCACTGGCCTTTCTGGCCCCCTGGGCACACTGCTGGCTCATGTTCAGCTGCTGTTGACCTGCACCCCCACGTCCTTTTCTGCTGGGCAGATTTCCAGACACTCTGCCCCCAGCAGAATTGTGTGCAGAAGGTTCTGTTCACCTCCTCTCTCTTGGAGGCATCAGTTGCAATAAGTATTGGATTATCTTAAGTGCCTCTCACTGGATTTCTGTGTGTACAAAGACATGCACCAGTCTGGACAGTTTAGTCCTTATCTTCCCACTGACTTCAGTAAGGATTCAGAAAGGACAGGTTAATCTGCTGGCATCTCTTGAAGGGCCCTCTAAAGATAAAGGTATTTCAGAAACTTTAAAGTCATGTGATAATGGTTTTTTTTTTTGGTCACATACTATTCTCATTTCATGAGAATTGTCCTGTCCCTGAGAATAAAGTAGCAGTTTCTGGTGGGTTGACCTTGGCAGGCAGGCAAACTCCCACCCAACCACTCTCTGACGGATGGGAGGAGAAGATAAGATAAAAAAACTTGTTTGGACCAAGATAAGGGCAGGGAGGTTGCTTGCCAGACACTCATCACAAGCAAAGCAGGCTCAACTTGGTAAAGGTTAATTTATTACCAATTAAAAAGAGGGTCAGACAGTGAGAAGCAAAAACAAAACTAAAAACTCTTTTCCCCCACCCTTTCTTCTTCCTAACACCGAAGTGACACGGGGACACAGGGCCCACTCTGAACTTCTCCCTCTGCAGGGGCTCAGCTGCCTCTCTGTGCTGTGCACCATGGGCTGCAGGGGAATCTCTGCTTCAGCACCTGGGGCACCTCCTCCCCCTCCTGCTGCACTGACCTTGCTGTCTGTTTTCTTATCTCATTCTCTCTCCCAACTGCTGCACAGTGCTTTTTAGTCATTCTTAAGCGTGTTCTCACACAGGCAGCGCCAGCGTGGCTGGCGGGCTCTGCTGGGGCTGGCAGTGTCCATCTCCTCACAGAGGCTCCCTGCAGCCTCCCCCTGCTACCAAAACCTTGCCATCTCAACTCATTGAGCTATTTGGTTGCTCTGTGGAAGTTTTTCTTATTCTTCGGAAAAGTTTAGATTGTGTTCTGTGTTTGTTGTGTGTTAGGAATATTTACGAAACTGATTATGTCTGAGTTGATATCTTTGGTATCTCTTGAGTTGGTAATGGGTTACATTCTTGTACACTGAAACACACGAGGAAGTATAGTGTAGTTAGTTCAATAGACTTCCAAATATTATTTAATTGTGATTCTCTAGATATAGCATTGGAAAGTATATGGATTAACTGCAACCGAGGAGAGCTTTTTGGAGAAATAAAATGTGTGAGTGCCTTGTTTCAGTCTTTCCTCAGGAGAAATATGGCTCTGCTGTATTTGCTAGGCCTTGGTTAATTCACTAATGGTCCTTTTTGGTTTGAATATTTGAGAAATATTTTTGAGATGTCTTTGTGTGTCTTTTTTTTTTTCCAACAGCACTTCCTGAAGCGCCTGCAGATGGCTCTGCTCAGCCACGTGTGTCTTGGGCGGGGATACTTTCACAGCCCCCAAAGAAAATTATTTCATCACCAGCATCTGAAGGTCTTTCCAGGGGCAAAGGGAAGGAGGATAGTGAGCCAAAGGTACTTGAGAATTCTCTGCTCTCAGCTAATTTCTGTAACTGTCATTGGGACTCTTTGCTGGCCTTTTTTCCCCTAGGCTCTGTCCACTTCTAATGTAGCTTTTAAGAGATAGTCTAAAGGCACTTTGGTCTTATCAGAATTTTTCTTGTAGTGGAAAAGAATCACAGAATGTCAAAAAGACAGTGCTACTGAACAAAAACTTTCAACTTTTAGACTGGATTCTTTCCAAATTCTTGATCCTCAGACTGAAGCATGAAACATAGAACTCTTGCCTTATTTGGCTTGATATTTCCTAATGAAATCTCAGTAGTCTGAGTGTGTTCTGATAACAATGCAATGTGCTTTAAATGAGGAATTGTTGCAGTAGCTGTGAATTTCTAAGAGATCTTGAATTTTTTTTGTCCACCTAATGTCCTAGCCTGCATTGATTAAAATACCTTTTTGTTGTGTAAGTATAATCACTTGCATTTATTTTGGTAGGTGATACTGAAAAAAAAAAATTCTAAAGGTCATGCCTCATGACTGTTTTTTCAGCAGTCAGAAACAAAAAATGATGCTAGTGAAACTGAGCCTGAAGAAGGTTCAGAAAAGAAGAAAAAAAAGAAGAAAAAGAAGAAAAAAACAAAGTCATCCACTGATGTAGAGAGACCCCAAAGTGAATCTGCTACAGTACAGGAACCACCGAAGATTGAGGTACAGTGAAGAGGTTTTCATTGCTGTTCTTTTAAGTGTGTTAGAAGATGAGATGATAACACAGCTTTGCACAGATTTAAGTTTGAAACCAGTTTGTAGAGGATGTCGGTACAGGTTTGTTTCAGTTGCAGTGTTTGTCAGAGGTTACTGGCAGGAAACTTGTGCTTTTCCAATGGCCACCTCTTCAGTGAGCACACAGGAGTGCAGAGGAGACTTGGCAAATTTGGAGTGGTGCATAGCAGATAACAAAAGTGAAATTTCCTAAATTAAGCAATTGTTGCACAGGGGTTGGGGAACATGCTGAGTCCTACAGGGTGCCACAGTTCTAAAAAATGTGGTACCAGTATTACAACTGTGACTCTTTCACATCTGGAAGCAATTTCTGTGTAACTCAGCTGACACTGCTTCCATTTCTGGCTGCTAATTCCAGTTTCTTTCCAACTTCATGTAGCTGTAATATTCATATTAGTATTTTGTTGCTTTTGTGTATCAGTTTGGCAAAAAGCATTGGACTCTCCCACGTTAGGGAATTGTTGTGTGGTCCATGGTTTAACAGTGCTTCATTGAAGGCCAAATATGGTTCAGCATGAAATGGCAGCATAAAGAAGCCCTTCTAGCTGGTTTCTGCTCTGTGTGTTTTAACGTGGCACGTGAAACAGTTTCATTGTGTGGTTCCTTGTCCTGGAATGGCACAAGAAGTGACTGTTAACAGACCTCTTTATTAGAGAATTAGGATTGGAATCAAAGATCAGCAGGTCCTTTATTGTTTTTGCTCTGTGCTGCCACACAGTGCCTGGCCTATGAATGGCATAAGTCATGGGAAATAGTAGGATGGTAAATGGGACTATTAAAGAAAAAATTGGAAAAATTAATGGCATAGAATCATGGAACAGGAGACACACATTGCACTGGGATCCGTGTTGCAGCAGTGGGGGGAATGTTTTCAGACCCTCCCGGTTTGCTGGCAATGCCTGTCTCCTCATCAGTTTGAAAAGTGGGTGAGATGCTCGAATGGGGCTCTTGAATTAGTAAGGCATGAAAGGATCATTCACAGGGAGCTGCTGGGCACCCAGGAGGTCTGAGAAGGTTCTGCCGTGGGCAGCAACTCACCAGAGCAGTATGTGGGATTGCCTACTAGTCTGTACAAGTCAGTCATTTATAGCATCAATGATGCACTTGGGGAAAGGGAATGGTTTTTTGATACACAGCGATAGGCCCTGAACTAGATATTTCCCTTGAAGAATAAAATGTTGAAGCTGCTGTTGATAATCAGGGGTAGTGCTATTAGTAGTGGTCAAACATGCAAACAGTGCTGGGAAGTATTAGGAAATAAAAAGGAAAATGGATTATGGCAGTACGGAATTTCAGGGCATGTCTGATCTAAATATACCGTGGATTTTGTTTTCTTGTGTTCCTCTTACTCCTTAAAAAATACACATTTGAACTAAAAAAAGATAGACAAAGGGCTCCAAAAAGAATCAAAGGTATGAAGCAATTTCTGTGGGAGGCAAGACTGAATGAATTAGGACGTCTCAGGATGTTAAATAGTTGGCTAACCGGGAATCTGACAATGACAAGAAAATAAAAAGGGAGTTATGTGGCCTTTCTCCTAATTTTGTTTGATGTCCTCTGGTTCTTACAGGTGATGAGTGAAGAGCAAATATAGGGGAGTGTAATGTCTCACCAAGTGCTAGATTTTAATTATTCATTTTGCTACAGGGTGCTGCAAATGCTGGGAATTGATTTGCCTTTAGGAAGCAATTTGACAGAGTGAAGTAAAAATTTATTCTAGTGGGGGCTATTTAAATCTGAAGGTACTATGTGTGGTTGCAGATGTCCCTAAGCTGGAAGAGCGTGCCTGTGAAATATTTTTCTCTTTCTTGCATATGATTGAGATAGTGGATATAAGGTGACCAGTGTAGAGCAAGCTCCAGCCTGTCTGCACTTGGTTAATCCAGATTCTACATAATGTATCCTCTGCCAATAAAACTTGCTCTTCTGTGTAAGCCACCATAATCATTTGAGTGATTTACGTGTTTATTTCCATGGTCTAGTACTCTGTTACACACTGCCCTTTTTGTGCTTCACCACTCGCACGTTTAAGGCAGACTTGCACAGCTGGAGACTGTACTGGAAGAAGAGGGAAGTTGTTTTCAAGGCTGTTAAGCAATTTGAAGAACACTCCTTTAGGTGTCATTTACCTCTAATTGTTTGTATCAGCTGATAACAATAACAGGCTGCTGTTGTTTCTCAGCCCTGAATTAGCTGCTGCAGAGAAGACTTTTGTAGTACTCATCATAGTTGGTGGCACCACAACTTGGCTTCTGAATTTTTGTAGCATGAAACAAATCATGATGAGTGTTTGATAAGCAGGGAGAAAATCATTTGAATGTAGAAAAACCAGTTTTGAAAATATGTGCTTGGTTGTTATCTTACTAAATCACCTTTTGATTGATTTGTGTAGGATGTTGAGGAGTTTCCTGATCTGACAGCTGCTTCTGATAGGAGAAAGAGGGTAGGATCTCAGAAATCATCCTTTACTCCTGCAGTCAGAAAGCAGTCTGAAGTAAGTAATCTTGCACTATTATGTGAAACAATGTCAATTATGTATCCAAGATGTTTGCTTGGCTTTTTTTTTTACATGAGTGAAATAAATCCCAAGAATTTCGAAATTCATTCAGTAGGGGAATGAACCCTAAACATAAACCACAAGGATTGAAAATAATAACATAAATAATAATAAGGTAAAATTCCAGGTTTTTGTTTCTTTGAAATTAGTTTTGCTGCTAAAAATGTTTGTCCTTGGCTTTGTTTCCCTGTGATTATTAGTGGTTTTAAAAAAAAACTCAAACCACATTGTCTGCTTTGTTCGAGGCAGTAAATTGCATCGACAGGGAGGAGTGAGTAGCAAAAGGCACAGTGATAGCTCAAGAAAGGTTTGTCATAAAAAAAGTGCTATACAGACATGCACCTCAGATGAAAGCAACCCCTTAGCTTTGCAGACATAAGTGGGATATAACCTCTTAAAGCTTACATGCACACTTCTGTAACAAATACTTGAAGATGTAGCTGCCTTGCTAGGCTTTTCTTCCAAATCTGAGGGGGGTAAATATGAGTGTGGTTAAGTTGTGTGGTGGCTGAAAAAAGGTCACATTTCTAGAAGGCCACGTAGAGTCTTCTCTCCTCCAGGCTGAACGACCCCAGCTCTCTACACCTTTTATGACAGAAGAGGTGTTCCCAGCCCTCTGACCATTTCTGTGGCCCCCCCCTCTGGCCCTGCTTTAACAGGTCCATGTCTTTCTTGTGCTGGGAGCCCCAGAACTGGACACACAACAGCAGAGCAGGGGGAGAGGATGGAATTGGCTTCCTGGGCTGTGAGTGCACGTTGCTGGGTCTTGTCCAGCCTCTCACTCACCAGCACCCCCAAGTCCCTCTCAGCAGGGCTGCTCTCAAATGTTCAGCCTGTGCTGATAACCAGGGGTTGCCCTGACCCAGGTGCACATGGTCTTGTTGAACTTCATGAGGTTCAGACAGGCACACACTCCCCAGGCATGTCAAGGCCATTCTGGATATCATCCCTTCTCTGGAGCGTGCTGCTCAGCCTGGTGTCCTCCACAGACTTGCTGAGGGTGCATTCAGTCCCGCCGCCTGTGTTCCGCTGGAATTTAATAACATCTTCACCCTTTTCCGTGTGTCTTTGAATGTGTTTTTAAATATTTTTCTCTTCCTCCCTGTCACTTCTGTCTCTAAATCTGAAAGATCCGTATCCCTGAAGAGCCTTGTGATACTCAGTCTCCCTCACTGGATGAAACTCCCAAGGTGGACGGACTGTCAGGGAAGCAAGGCTCATCTTCTGTGTTAGAAAGGAAGAAAATGCAGGTAAATGAATTCATGTTTGAAAACAAGTTTACAGCTCAAAATGACAAGGGAAATTAACCTGCTTAAACATAAGACTAAGTCCAAGCTCATTTGGGATTGTGTTCATACTTTGAGATAAGTGATGAGGTTTCCTTGATCAGAAGCACTTAGTGGTAGTAATTGCTAATGCCCAGTTTGTGATCCTGAGTTTAGGGGAAAATGCAAACTTTTCATTAATGTCTGTGAGTCTTCCAGATGTCAGGAATTTTTCTTTCACCTGCCTTACTGGACTGTGCCATAAATTCCAGTCCAAACTGATTGTCTTAAGGAGCTGGGAGTCTAGTAAAAGGGGTTCTGACAGATTAAGACAAGGAGGCAGGGAGGGAGATCCCATTATCTTGGGGCAAGGAAGAGAAATAGGGAGTAACAGTGAGGCCAGAAAGTAGTTCTGTATTGGTGAGTAGGTTCTGGCACAGCTCTGATGCAAGGTGAGATCCCAGATTAAGATTTAGAAGGTCACATTCTGTAACCTTGTTGTAACAGAAACTATAACGAATTGATCCTCCAGGATAAGACTTCTGAAAGTGCAATATCTGATAGCATATTTTGCTGTGGTAGTTTACTCTTTTGTAGTCTTTTCTAGACTGTTCATTTGTAACCTTTGTCTGTTCTGAATCATTAAATATGAAACACAGCTTTTGCCTTCCCTTCAAAGCAGACAGATCAGTGCTTATTAGGAGGTGGTGCAAAGATAATGACCCCTCTCTTAAATAACACATTGAAGATAATGATTTATTTATGTTGCAATCACATGCCCTGGACGACTCAGAGTAGTTTTTCTGTGCTGTTAACAAAACTCTAAATTCTGATAAGCCTTTTATCTTTTTCAGAGATAGATGGCAGTCTGACCAAAGTGGGAGCCTGACATAAAACACCTAAATTGAAGACTTTATACTTCTATGCTTTGTTGCAGTAGCTATTGAGAAGTTAATTGAACTGTTTCTGATTTTTTATATTTTTGACACTGAAGTTGATTTGTGCTTAAAGATCATTGAATCAAGTTAAAAGTCAAAAGCATTACAGATAAAGATGTTGGAGTGTATTTAAACCATACAAAATAAGTCTTTGCATTCTGAAATGGAGAGCATTACTAATTGACACAACTCATTTAGGAAACATCCAAGAGCAGTGGTAAGAAGAGTCAGGTTCCTGTGCAATTGGATTTGGGTGGCATGCTGGCAGTCTTGGAGCAGAAGCAGCAAACAGAGAAGTTGAAGCAGTCTTCTAAACCTGTGGTGTTTTCAGGTATTGGTTACTGTGAAATTTCTTTCAACTCTGGCTGTTTTTTAAGTATTCAGACATTAAATGTAGTCTGATTTCTGATCTGAAATAATCTCTCAATATCCAGGCTGGAGCAGAGTTCACCAGATAGAAAAGAAAATGAAGGTTCTTAAAAAAAAAAAAAAAAAAAAAAGCCTGGCGATCTGCATTGTTTGGAGGAAGACTTGTGAAAAGAGAAATTTTCAGGACAGAGATTTGTACAGGAATACCTTTTACAAATATGAGACATGATTGAAATGTTGCTTTGACAGAAATACCAATGGTTGGTGGAGGGTGTTGCTCTGTCTGTGTGTCTCTGTTCTGATCTGAACCTGCAGGAAGGGGCTGCACAGTAACAAAGGCTTTCTTAACCTCTGATCCTAGAAATCCTAGAGCTGTAACCTGAGTGAAAGAGCTCCTTTGCAAGCACAGGGAGTGTTATGTGGGAGTCAGGCAGACCAAGCCAAAGTATGTTCTGACATACCTGATAACTCTGAAATAATTTCTGTTAACAATATGCTATGTTTTGGTAATGGAGAAAATCTTTCAGTCCTCCTGGATGCATAACCAGGAGTAGAAACAAATAGCCCAGTCTTCTTCATTATAGGTCCAAATCTAATCCCTGCAATGCTGGTATGGTATATTTCTCAGAAGGAACCATGATGTTTGCTAGAATTTGATGGTGATGAAATTTCTCTCCTAATTGCAGCAAAGCATTCTTTTAGAAATTATTTCAGAAAAGACCTAATCACAAGTGACTCCACCTTGCAATACTTATTTAAAAGCTCATTTAAAAGCTGTCACATTAAGAAGCTCAAAATATTAAGTATTGATGAGATTTTCCTTCACTAAGTGAAAGAACTTGTAATATGCTTTTTACATTTTTTTTTTTTGCAGTTGATTTTTTTTTTCCCTTTTGGTCCATTTGAGTAACTTAGTGCTGCAGAGGTGCTAATAACCAGGTTTTTGTCAATAAAATTATACAGTGTATGGATTGATGAGCAGATAGATGGTGGAGCACAAAGGTGTGGCTCAAAATACCTGTTTTCTAATGTTAAATTTCCTGTGTCTGAATCTGTTGCAGAAGAGAAATTTGATGTGTCGTGTTTGTATCCTGGAAGTATAAGGCAGATGTTACTTCAGCTTTATACTTTTTTATGCATTCAGTGCACCCGTTAAATTGGTGTGTACCAAAATATAACTTTAGTTTGCAAAGTGGTGTTATGCTGACCTCTGTAATCAGAAGAGGACAGTAAACAAAAAGAGCAAGGAGTGTGACCACAGACAGTTTGTTGGTTTTTGGGTTTTTTGTGTAGGTTTGGTTTTTTTTTTGGGGGGGGGGGGTGTTTTTTTTTTGTTTTTTTTTTTTTTTAATTCCACTTATTACTTCATGTGATAAATAATATCTGTGAAAGCCATCAAGTTCAGGAGCACGAGAACTGTGAACTAGAAATGGTAATGTACACAGTGAAGAAAATATCATGTGTCTGCAGGATGTGTGCTTATGTGTTTCCTCAAATCCAGCTTCAGTTACCGTGGTCACCTGTGCTGCACAACAGCCTTGGCAGTGTTCTCAATTTGCCTTTTGATACACAGAGCCAAAAAAAAAAAAAAAAGAAGTTGCCATGTAGCAGTTTTATGAAGTAAACTGCTCATGGCACTACTGCATGTGGTGTTGGAGGATCAGCATATAAATACTGTGGAATGAAGATGACTTAAGACAAGCTGCCAGAATATTTGGGTGTTTTTTTGGGGCAGAGAGGTTGCCTGAGCCACAAAGGTGTCAGGCTCGTTCCACTGATACCTATGTCATCCTCTTCATTGACTTGCTAATGTAAAGTGGTTTATGCTGCAGGTAACTGAAGTTTGACAAAGTGCTCTCACAGGATACAGTAATTCCTACTGATAGTGAGGGAGAGTAGCTTTTAGGGTATGAGGCTGTGGTTTGGAAGATCCAGATTTGTGCAGTCATTTAAAGCTTCTGTGCTCTAAACCCCCAGATAAAACAAAAGAAACGTAGACATCTGAGAGCTGTGTGGGTTAAGCAAAAGAGACATGGCTGTAGCTTCATCCATCTTCAGCTTAAGGTGTAACAAATGGTATGTGTAAGCGCTCAAGGTTATTTACAGCAAGCAAGTCTAAACTCTGCAATACTGCTACCCAGTATTTGTCTTAACACAGTACTGAGTCTGTGGAGGAGGAAATGCCATTACTGTGAAACATGGAGATACCTGGAGGTTTACTAAAGCAGCATGGCATGAAGGTAGCCTGGACTGCAGTGTTCTGTCAGATTCTGCTTCTGAGAGTTCAGGGACTGAGCCTGTGATTTTAGGGGTAAAATAAAAGTAAAGGGCATACCAGTCTTCTGGGAGGAGCATCTTTTTAAAGTAGCATTGTTTCATGACACTGGATTGCCTGTAAATATTCCTAATAGCAGCACAACACAAATTTAAAATGTGTATACCAGCCCCAAACTTGAAGTTGGATTCTAGTTGAGGGATTTGTTGCAGTTGTCTGATGCAGACTTTTTTTTATTTTAAATCTCAGTTGGTGGTGCCATACCCCTGCTTTCAAAGGAACCTGCTACAGCCACGAAAACTCACCGCTCAAACCAAGCAAAGATGCCTCATAACCCTTTGGACTCCAGTGCTCCCTTGGTAAAGAAAGGGAAGCAGAGAGAAGTACCTAAAGCAAAGAGACCAACACCTCTTAAAAAGGTCTGCATATCTTTTTACCTTAATTAGCAAAAATATGGGGTAATGTGAGTTCAGTGTTACTTTGAGAGTGTGTTAAGCCCTCTTGTATGGAGATCTGCATCTCAGTGTCCACTTACCTGAGTTCAATTTTAACTTTGCTTGATTTCAGAAAGGGAAGGGGCTCGGGGGAGAAGAGGATAGTTTTGCTAACAGCATATACAAACTCCCCAAAAATATACTTTCTCGCTTAAATCAACTGGGAGCTGAAAAGTGCCACTAGCAAAGTGTCCACACATCATTGGTACAGGGGGACATGCAAAGAAGTATTAGCTTGTTTTGGCAAATATATATTTATTTGCAGGACTGGGGAGAATGGATCGGAGACAGTGTTTGGTGTTTCTGTGCTCTTCCAAGCCAGAACTTCACCTGATTCTGCAGCAACTAGGTTTAGGCCCATCTGGTGATTTCTCTAGTATCTTCTCTCTTTGCCCATTCATGTTGCTTTCTGTCACATCTTCTGTACAGTGAATTTTTTAAACTTTAGTTCTGCCCTTGTAGTTTATCCCTAGTAAATATTTTCTCCACCCTGACACTGGTAATCAAGGGAAAAGTCCATTTCTGTGTAAATTTAGGAAATATCTTTCCTTCTTTTTATGTGAAAATAGAGAAAAAAAAGTTGTAAGCCTTAAATGCCAGTGCTGAACCCCTTTGTGAATGGTCTGTATGTAAACATGTGGTAAGAGTAATGCTTTGTTATCTCTGTGACTCTGCATTGATTTGGTTTTGATATATACTTCTAGATCATTCTGAAAGAAAGAGAACAAAGAAAGCAACAGCACCTGTTAGAACAGAAAGCAGCACTAAAAGATGAAGATAACGTTTCTCAGTCTGCAGAAAATATTACTGGAAATGAAACACTTCTACAGGATAGTCAAGCAGGTATCTTTCAAGAGAAGCTGTAATTCCGTACGTAGCTGAAAATTTGAGAGTGAGCACATTTAGTACTTTTGAAAATTCGTACCAAATACCACCAAATGAAAGCTGTAACCTCAGAGAATTTTCTAAGAATAATCTCAGACTTATTGTGACTTTAAAGTGGGCCAAAGCTCACAGTCAGTGTAGTTGAGCAACAGGGATTCTGATTACAGTTTCACACTTCTCCACCTGTTGGCTTTGTGGTGTTTTGTAATGAGAGTTCCCACGTGCCTCTGGCAATTAACAAAATTTGAAATGAGAAAAAAAAACTCTGTTGAGATAATTTTGACTCCTCCATATATATTTGGCAGATTAATCTCTTCATAATGCTTTCTGGTCTGTCTTTTCATTGAAGTATCATCTTCATTTACTTCACAGCTCTTCCTGTAATGCAAGTTGCTGAAGGGCCTCTGGAGAACACGGGGATCAAGGAATCTAAAGAAGGTTCAATGACTTCAAAGCAGCTAACCCCCACTCTTCCAAAAATCCACAGTAGGAACTTCAGAGAGTAAGTGTGGGTTGTGTTGATGATATGCAGAGAAAAGCATTGTAATTCTCACTTGAAAATGTATGTTCCTTGAAGGAACAAAAATGCTACAAAAGCATTAGAGGCTAAGGGAGGAAAAGAAGCTTCTGTTAAGGTTTAAGAACTTTATTTTAAATAATGGAGTAACAGCTTAAGTAATAAGGTGCACTGCTTTATTTCTTAAATACTTTTTTTAGTGAATAGTTTTGTTTCATGCTACCAGATCAGATGGCAAAAATGTAAAGATTGTGACTAACCAGACAACACTTCCATGTTGTGGCAGAGAAATAAAAGGAATATTTATGACTTATTACGTATAAACACTTCTAGTTTTGTGTGATATTATGTGTATACACGTTTCTTTATAAAATAAGAAGTCATCACTATATGTGAAGAGGTCAGAGATCCAGTCATGACAGCTTAAAACAGTTACTTGAGGAAATCAGTTTTTTAACTTTCAGTTCTCCTCTCAAAAAGGCACCACTGCATCTGATAGCAGTGGTTAATAGTGATTGATGCAACCATTCTTTCTGGGTTAGCTCTAATTTAACTTTTAATTACCATAACAGTTACAGCGAAGTGGGGTGACAGACATCAACGTAGGGAGGAGGAATTTGATCCAGTTTTCCATGTCTGTTACATGTAGCCTTGAATTTGTAGAAATAAGTTAGAATTTTATACTCTGGTTGTGTCAAAATAAATGCCCTCAGAAAAATGCTTCAGTAGAAAAAGATACACCTCTATCTACTGGTATAAAAATATATGTATTTATATTGTACATGTGTGTATTTTGAGTGTAGTGTGATAGGGGAGCCAGATAACACAAGTAACAAAACTTCCTCTTTAGTTCTCAGACACTGAAAAAAAATCTTAACTAAATTTTTTGTTTTCATATATATATATAAAATAAGTGTGTTTGGAGTGGAAGTAGAAAAAAAAAAGCAAAGACAGAGAATAGAAGTTACAATTTATATTTTACATATTTAACATATTACATATTTATATATTACACATTAATTTTAGGGGATTTAACATTTGATTGATCCTTTCTTCCAGTTACTGCAGCCAGGTGCTTAGTAAAGAAGTTGACAGTTGTGTGACAGATCTTTTAAAGGAACTGGTTCGTTTCCAAGACCGCTTGTATCAGAAAGACCCAGTAAAGGCCAAGATAAAACGCAGGCTGGTGATGGGTCTTAGAGAAGTTCTGAAACATCTGAAGCTGAAGAAGCTGAAGTGTGTCATCATCTCTCCTAACTGTGAAAAGATTCAGTCAAAGGGTAAATAAGTTCTTTTAAAAAAACCCCATAACTGTTAAATAAAATAAATGTAAAAGAGCAGACTCGGCATACTGGCAGTTGTTACTGAGAGGATTTATTTGAGTAGCCTTTGAAATCCAGCCGTGTGAAGTTGCCTTGTTCAGATTGTTTCCTGCTGTGCAGCTGAAGTGTAAGCTGAGTCAAGACTGTCTGGGATGGGAGAAGTTATCTGAGACTTCAGGTCTCTCTGAGTTCCTGATTTGCAATATTGCTGCACAGGAGGTTGCACAGCTGAGAAGATCCAAAGGTTGCTCTGCCACCATGAGGCATCCTACTGTATCAGTCTCTTGGAGGCCACAGGGTGACAATAAATGGTCAGTGACAGTTTGCTTAAAAGTTGTTGTAATTATTGGGATTAACTTAATTGCTGTAATTGTTACCATTTAAATAACTTTTTAGCAGCTGGGTCCTTTATTGATACTACATTAGACTGTAATACAAATACAGCAAAATATGGAATAGCAGCAGTCTAAGGATAGTGCTAACTAAGAATTAAGAAAAATAAATGTCAAGTTCTCCTCTAGAAATGGAGATCCAACGCTGCTCTCGAGATCCCTGCGTTTTTTCCTGTAATATCAGTAACCTTGGGATCTTTTGTGCCGTGTTTCAGCAGTGTGATTCTTTAGTCCCAGTCAGCTTGACCGTGTTGTCTGTTGCAGGTGGGCTGGATGAGACCCTACACAACATTATTGACTGCGCCTGTGAGCAGAACATCCCCTTTGTCTTCGCCCTGAACCGCAAGGCCCTGGGCCGGTGCGTGAACAAAGCAGTGCCTGTGAGTGTGGTGGGGATTTTCAGCTACGATGGGGCTCAGGTGAGCAGAAACGGGGCCAGTTCATGGGTTTGTTGGGCTTTATGTTTTTTTAACCTGGGAGATGAAAATACTCCGATTTTTAAGGTTTTGTTTGTTTCCTTTGCTTTTGCACACTCTTTCATCACAGGTCATAGAGAAACTGGTTTCAGAAGTACAGCTGGTCAGCACTGCTTAAAAAAGAAATACTTCTGCCATCTCTTTCCAACATCCTCTTAATCTCTCTCTCAAGTTGTTTTGGGTTTTTTTTTAATCAAGAGAACTGGTGTTTTTATAAGTGCTTATAAATGATGTGTTTTTCATGTCCTCATACGTACTTAGCTGCTCAGCTTTTATGTATGAACGTACATGTTCTGAATAAGAAATATTAATTGCAGATTTTAACACTTACTGTATGATTTAAACTCTGCTAATATTTTATGTTGCTACAGGACCATTTTCACAGAATGGTACAGCTGACAACAGAGGCCAGGAAGGCCTACAAAGATATGATAGCAGCTTTAGAAGAAGAAGCTAAAGGAGGACTACAAGAAACCCACTCCAGCTTCTTAACAACTGAATCTGGAAAAAATGGCTTATCAGAAACTGGTAAAACATCTTCCAAGGACTCCGATGAGGATGTACCAAATTATAGTAAGTATTTACTGATTTGTTTTTTGTTCCATTTGCATTTATAGTGCTCTTCAATCCTGCAGTTTTCAAATGACACCTGACAGTAGTCGTTACTAAGGGGGGGGAATGCTTTTCTGTTATTTGCCCCATGGTTTTATAAACCTGAGGTCAGCTCTTGCTGAGGAAGTGCTAAGAGAAAATTCCTCTCTGAAATCCACTGATGGCAGGCAGCACTCACTGTTTTGTTCAAGGAGATTTAACAGAGCTCCTTACTATATTTGTTAAAAAATCCTCTTGAGATTCCTTCTGGAAGTGCATATTCTGTAACTATGGTTGTATTGAACCTGTTTGAAATGCATCTTCCTGTCCACGAGCGTTCACTTCTAGAAACACTTTCCCCCAGCTGGAACCACCTTCAGAGTGGATCCCACCACTGCTAAACTATTCTTTCATGCATCTCCTGATGGCTGCATGGTATAAATGCCAACATGCCTGTGTGTCCATTTATCTCAGCACTTATTTTGAAGAGGGAGTAGAGAAATCAATTTTGACTTTTCATTTTAAGTTCTTCCTCAAACATTATATGATAACATGTTTGTTGTGTTTTTGTTTTCTTGTCTGTTTGTTTTTGTCTTTTTGTCGTTGTTGTTGTTTTCCAATATTCCCTAGTTAAAGTCTGGAAGAGAAAACTTGAAGAAGAATACAACCCATATGCACTGGAATTGGAAAAGAGTGCAACTGCTGACATGGCGATAGTGAATTTGGAAGAGCTTCAGTAAATCCAGATCTAATTCTGTTGGGGATATATTTTTTTTCTGTTAGACCTCTAGGAAGAAGGTAGCAAAATAACAGAATTTTAAGAAGTATTTGAAGTTAATTAGCCAAGTAAACTGTTCTGAATCCTATTAAGCACTGGAGCACATGAGGCATTGGTTGACGTTTTTGTGTTCTATGTGTTTGGCTGATTACTATAGCAGATGCAACAGCAATTTGTTTTAGCCCCAAACCACTTGAAATGGCTTGGCATACTTTAATGGACTAGCTTTCTTTTTTTTTTTCTCTTTGGTGATACAAGATACCAAAAGCATCTGATAGAAAAATAACTTTCTATGGGAAGAGATTCCTTGAACCAGAAGGCTGGGGCTTGAGGGGAGTTATCCGTAATTTCTGAGTCTTGTTTAAAGAACTTCAGCTGTTATCTGATTGTGGGTTTCTTCTTGAGCACAAGCACTGTGAGGAGAGGCTGAGGGAGCTGGGGTTGTTCAGCCTGGAGAAGAGGAGGCTCAGGGGAGACATCAGCACTCTCTGCAGCTCCCTGACAGGAGGTTGCAGCCAGGTGGGGGTTTGGTCTCTTCTCCCAACCAGCAGCAGGACAAGAGGGCACGGGCCTACACTGTGCCAGGGGAGGTTTAGGTTGGATATTAGAAAGAAGTTCCTTACAGAGTGAGTGATCAGCATTGGAATGGCCTGCCCAGAGAGGGGGTGGATTCACCGTCCCTGGAGGTTTTTAAGACGAGGCTGGATGTGGCACTGAGTGCCATGATCTGGTAATCACAGTGGGGTTGGATCAAGGGTTGTACTCGATGATCTTGGAGGTCTCTTCCAACCCAGTTAATTCTATGATTCTGTGATTCTTAGTTTTTTCTTCTAAATAAATAAGGCTGCTCAGATGGACAGGCTGGTGTCAATGTCACTTCCTTCAAGTCAGCAAGAAATTAATTTGGGGCAGGCAGCTTGAGTGAAACGAAGGAAGGGCATGATGACAGAGTTCCCAATTAGCTCTACTGTGTGCTATCTTGTTCCTTTGGGCTCACACATCAGGTGTAAAGGTGAAAGCACAGACTACAAAGGTCTGAAATTCCTGAAGTAAATATGCTCTGTTAAGACATTTTATAAATTTGATGTTTCTGTTGCTGCTGAGACTAGTTTATCATAGATCTGCTTTTAAGTTAGAGCATACTGAAGGACAGCGAATGTGCCAGCCTGCTATCCTGTCTGTACCTGCTCCTTCCTGAGACTCCTCATTCCTTCAGTTTGGGGTCGTGCTGGTATATATATATATATATATAAATATATGAGATAAGAGTTTTTCAGCAATCTCAGTTTGTATCTAAATAGGGAAAATTTATATCTTGTAAGAAATAAAGTTTGTATACTAGAGGAAATAAAATTTTAAAAGCAAAATGGCGCTTACAGCAGTGATGGAGCATCCTGGTGGGAACGGCCTGTATAAACACTGTTGTGTGCAAGCTGTAGATGTTCAGAGGACGAGCCTAAAGGAAGTAATTGGAGGGATGGACATGTAGCTTCTGTCAGCTCTTCTGGAAGATGATACAGATGCCCTGTGTGCTGCTGCCAGCATCTCTGAAGTGTGTCTGTAAGTGCTTCACCACGCTGAACGTTTGTAGTGCAACACTCTGGAAAGTAGCTGCCTTGCGGTGACATAAAAACTTTAAATAACTTTTGAAAATGCAAACAATTTTTTAGAATGTAAATTGTATAAAATCTGTTACAGTGTATACTGATTCTATAAAGAATGGTTGTGACTTAAGTAAACTCTTCTTGTGGGAGTTTAATGATACTTGAACTGTCGGTTTCGAGGAAGAGCATCGATCAGGGGAGCCTGCCTTCTGCTGAAATGCTCAGTTTGTCGCTAGTTATGGTGATGATGATCTTTTTGTATTCGTTTCTTCTAATCTTAAGTTGAAATCAGGGGTGAAAGGTCCCAGTGACAAAAGATGTTTTTGGCCAGCATGTATCTTTGGTCTGGAGGTGAGCTGTGACTCGTGCAGTTATACTTGTGCCACTTGGACACACACCTAAAACTCTGAAACTGCTAAACCTAGGCATTGCATGGAATGGGGACCAGTTGGTGAAGAAATTATTTTTTTTTGACCACGTTTTCTATTTTGTCTTACTGCAGAAGAACATAAAAAGTCACTTTGGAAATACTATGGCTTGCTCAAAGTCTGAGGGAGTTACTCCCTGTTCTCAGAGAGGAGCAAAAAAAAATTCACTACAGGGTGTCACAGCTGTGTTCACTAATTCTGTTACACAGATATTTTTTTCAGAAAATTGAGCTAAGCAAAAAATCCAGCAATTTTTTTTTACCACTTGGCAGTAATTCACTGCTGAAACAAAGCAAAGCTTAACTACAAGTCTGACCTCAGTCTTACAGAGCTTTACCTTCCCCCTCAGCACCACAGAACTAAACTTGGCCTGCTCCAAATCTGTTGAACAAATGGAGGAGAGAGACAATTCAAGAAAAGTCCATTTATAGTTGTCCTGAGAACACAAAATAGGGAAAAAGTTATTTCTGAGTGTTAGTGTCAGATGCCTGCATCAGCATTAATTTATGACTGCCAATATGAAAAACAGAGGAAATGGTTAAGAAAAATAGGGAAAACAAAAGAATTTTCACCTGGCATGTGGTCTGGTATTGAAAAAAAAAAAAAGGTCATTCAGGTCTTAGCGTGAGGAGAATGCTTCCCTTAAATAAGTGGGAAACAATCTAATTTAAATCTTAGCAGCCAGGGGATAACTTAGGGATAAGTGTGAAGCTTTCTGCTATTGCTAGGAGCAGCTGTCCCCATGGAATGAATGATTATTAGCTGGCACCTTGCTTGCTTCCAGCTGTTGAAAACCACTGAGATGATTACAATACAGAAAACTTGAATTATACCACAGCTTTCTATTTATTAGATGCAGAAGGACAAAAACCTGAAAAGCCATGCAGTAAAAGCAGTTCCACTGTGGATTGTGTAGGCCCTCATACTTTCAAGCTGCAGTTGATCACTAGGAAGAGTTTTCAGTCAGGGTCTCCTGTCCTGGCTGTGTCTCCTCCCGTGCATCCCTCTCCCCTCCCCAGCGTGGCAACACGAAACGCAGAAAAGGCCCTGGCTCTGTGCAAGCAACAACAAGAAGAGTATCTCTGTCCTGTCAACACTGTGGTTCAGCACAGGTCTGGAACACAGGCCCATACCAGACAGACACAGAAGAAAATGAGCTCTGCCCCAGCCCAAACCAGCAGAGCTGCCCAGGGAGCACGCACGAACAGATGGAAGCTGCCGACCCCAGAAAGGAATGCCCTCCAGAACCCTGGCAACAGAGTGGCAGGGGAAGCAGAAGAAAATAAGTGTGCAAGCTGAAGTGCCTTTAAATAAACGTGACCCACATCTTAAAGTTTCTAAATCCTATGCAGAGATAGCCAAGGCCAGCATTAACTGGCTTATTTAATGAGCTCCATGCAGAAGACACATCATACACTGTTTGAGCAGCACAAGTCTTACTGAGACTACTTTTGTCCTTCATTAAGCTGGAATAGCTGGCATCAGAAAACCAGAGAGAGTTCCAGCATGGGGTGGGTGGCCTTCCTTGCAGCATGTAACTAACTTTGTTACTTTGGTGCAGTAAGAATATCCCCTTCCACTTCACGCTTGAGTCGATTCTCTTGAATATCAATTTTAATGCCAGCACTAACACCTGCAAAGACATCTCCAAATGCTGTAATATTAAAGAGTACCAGGTACTCTTGCATACATTTCTCCTTCTAGCCTGTTCTTCATGCCTTTGTCCATTAGAGGCTGTTTTTCTTGTTGCAGGTCTCCTGAAGAAAAATTTCAGAATGATGTGTTAATATTGCTTTAAAAATTAAAATGGGGCTTAAAGGCTGCCCTGTACTAACTGTTAACACATGCAAAGTGTGCCATATCCAAACTCTTCAAAAATAATCTTTGTTCTAACTGTAGAAAAAAAACCACACCACATTAATAGCTGGATATGGGCAATTTTTTTTTTTTTTTAAAGGCAGCTTGGATGGACAGTACCATTTATGAAGTCCAATAGTCTCTGCAATTCAATTAGTCCACAGATGTGATGAAATTAATATGCTATATTTAGTATACACAGACTTACTGTTTTGGGCTGGAAGAGAACTTCTGACTGATGAGCACTTACTGGACTGAAGGAACAAGCTGATATAACTGCAGTGAATGTCACAGAGCAGTTTTTGCTGCACAGAGGGTCAAGAATGATGTACAGGAACACTAACCATTTTTGTTATACATTCTGCTGCAGAAGTGTGAGAGGCGGTTTATAGAACTGGGGTTGCTGTGGCTCATGTGTAGAAAGCACTGTAGGGGATATCTTTTCCAAAAATTCTTACCCATGTTTTCTTCCAGTTTTGCATCATCTTGGCATGTTCACTGATTGCACTTCTCCAGGTGTCCAATTCTTTGGTCCATGTGTCCTGACCAGCACTGTCTGAGAATTGTACATGGGATGATTACAGAGCCACGTCATAGAATCACAGAATCACAGAATTAACTGGGTTGGAAGAGACCTCCAAGATCCAAGTCCAACCCTTGATCCAACCCCACTGTGATTACCAGATCATGGCACTCAGTGCCACATCCAGCCTCGTCTTAAAAACCTCCAGGGACGGTGAATCCACCACCTCTCTGGGCAGGCCATTCCAATGCTTGATCCCTCTCTCTGTAAGGAACTTCTTCCCAATATCCAACCTAAACCTCCCCTGGCACAGCTTAAGCCCATGCCCTCTTGTCCTATTGCTGGTTGCCTGGGAGAAGAGACCGACCCCCACCTGGCTCCAGCCTCCTCTCAGGGAGCTGCAGAGAGTGCTGAGGTCTCCCCTGAGCCTCCTTCTCCAGACTAAACAACCCCAGCTCCCTCAGCCTCTCCTGGAGCACAGCACTTGTGCTCCAGTCCCTTCCCCAGCCTCCTTGCTCTTCTCTGGACCTGCTCCAGCCCCTCCATGTCCTTCCTGCCCTGAGGGGCCCAGAGCTGGACACAGCACTCCAGGGGTGGCCTCACCAACGCTGAGTGCAGGGGAAGGATCACTGCCCTGCTCCTGCTGCCACACTGTTCCTGATCCAGGCCAGGATCCATTGGCCCTCTTGGCCCCCTGGGCACACTCTGGCTCATGTTCAGCCTCCTGTCCCTCCAAACTCCCAGCTCCCTTCCTGCCTGGCTGCTCTCCAGCCACTCTGTCCCCAGCCCATGGTGCTGCAGGGGTTGTTGTGGCCAAAGTGCAGGACCCAAAACTTGGCCTGGTTGATCCTCATCCCTCTGCAGAGCCCTCCTGCCTTCCAGCTGATCAACACTCCCACACAGCTGGGTGTTGTCTGCACATTTGCTAATGATGGACTCAATCCCCTCATCTAAATCATCAGTAAAGATGTTAAACAGGGCTGGGCCCAGCACTGATCCCTGGGGACACCCCTGGTGACTGGATCCCAGCTGGATGCAGCCTCGTTCCCCATCACTCTCTGGGCCCTCCAGCCAGTTCCTAACCCAGCACAGAGTGCCCTGTCCAAGCCCTGGGCTGCAGCTTTTCCAGGAGTGTGCCCTGGGAGACGGTGTCCAAGGATGTGCTGGAGTCCAGACAGACACATCCCCAGCCTGCCCCTCATCCACCAGGCGGGTCACCTGCTCATAAAAGGTTGGTCAGACAGGACCTGCCCCTCCTAAACCCGTGCTGGCTGGCTCTGATCCCTTGTCCATCCTGTAGGTTCTGTGTGATTGCACTCAGGATGATCTGCTCCAGAACCTTGCCAGGCACTGAGGTCAGGCTGACAGGCCTGGAGTTTCCCAGGTCCTCCTTGCAGCCCTTTTTGTGGATTGGTGTGACATTCCCCAACTTCCAATCATCTGGGACCTCCCCAGAGAGCCAGGACTGTTGGGAAATGATGGAGAGCAGCTTGGCAAGTTGTTCTGCCAGCTCCCTCATCACCCTAGGACGGATCCCATCTGATCATGCAAGTCATCCCCCCACATTTCTGTGATGGCAACCACGTCACAGCTTTCCTGCTGTTGGTGCCTCACAGCTCCTCCTGTTTGTTGCCCACGCTGTGTGCACTGGTGAACATGCACATCAGCTGGGCTGCTGATTTCACTCTTACCTCAGGCTTTTCATCCCCGAGCTTCTCTCTGGGATTCAATCCCTTCCCCTTCAAACCTAGTTTAAAGCCCTCCTGATGAGCCCCGCTAACTTATGGGCTGCAGTCCTTTTGCCCCTCCTAGATACATAAAGCCCATCTGATTTAAGACGACTGGGTACTGTGGAGTTTGCCCCACGCCAAAAAACCAAAATTTTGGCAGTGGCACCAATCCTTTAGCCACCTATTGATAAGGTAGGCTTTCCTACTCTTCTCCTCATTCATCTCTATTTGCAGGTCTCTAGTACTCGAGTCTGACTTAAAATTTTTGTTCATTGGTTTAGCAGGTTTTGGTTTAATACCTAGATCATAACTGCTGATTTACATGCCAGTCCTTTGTGGGAGGGGGTGGAGGAAGAAGCTTTTATGGCTCTAAAACCTTTTCATGTACAACCGAAGTGGGTACTGATACAGCAGGCGAGAGTTACCTGCGGATGTGCACGTTTTACAGGTAAGTATTACAGAGGTTTTGCTCATACCAAGGTCAGGCCAAACCCGTCACACGTTGGGAACGAGCCTACCTTTGTCCTGCACTGTGATCAGCACGCCTGACGTTGCATTTCCAGCTTTGGAGACGAAGGAACACGAGTACTCCGTGTGTTCCGACACCGAATCCTTCACCCAGCTCAGCACGTGCACTCTGCCGTCAAGCAGCACGTGGGACTGCTCCGTGAGGCACCCCTGCATCTTCTGTCCCTTCTTCCTCCAGACAAAATAGGAGCCGCCCGGACCTGTAAAAACCTCAGTCAGCTTATTCTGTGAGAAAACAGCAGGTGAGTCTTCCAAGAGAGAACAAAAAGCCTCAAGACTAGGCTTTAAAAGAGCATAAATGGTTGATTGTGATGTTTCTTTAGGTTTCTTCGGCTGAAATTCTGGGTTCCCAAAAAACCCGGGACAAAAAGGAGCTGCTAGCACTGGGTAACTTGGGTTCGAGGTGAAGTTGTAAATGAGGCCATATGTGCCAAGGAATCCTGTGTGGATTCCACCACTGTGGTGGAGCAGATGATGAACATCAGCACTGCCCGCCTGCACAACTTCCTGCAGGGCCAGGACACTTCACCTACTGCTGGCCAGGCTTCTGGTGGGAAGCTGAAACCTTCTGAGTCGTGCCTCACAGACTCTGAAAACAAGGCCAGGAGAGGAAAAGTGTTTTCGGGAGCTCAGCGTGTCAAGGATGCTGAACGAGTGATGAAAGAGACAGAGCTGGAAAAAGCACGGAGCCTGCAGTCACAGCAGGCGCTTGGGCAAGACACAGCTTGAAAGAAGCTTGGATTAACAACAAAGAACAATCTAATCTTTTAGCCCCGTTGCTATTATTTGTCTTAACCTGCAAGGACAATGTCTGAGTAAATCAGAGATTGACAGTAGCCTAAAGGACGGAACAGCTGTTCTCAGGAAATTAGCAAGGCTGGCTGAAGTGTACCTGGCAGCATCAGAGCCCTTTTCATTTAAAAGGCAGACATCTGGGCCAAACTAAGAGCTTTGCAGTAATTCTGAGGTTTAAAACATGCCTATTTCCCCCTCTGGGCCTACGATCCAGACTAGTCTTAGCAAGAGAGGACGTAAAGGGAAATTTGGGGTAAAAAGAAAATAAGCTATATTTGCAAATACGCGTTGACAGAAGGGGTAACCTACTACAGAACTCAGCTTCATGAGCACTTCAAATTGCAAACTGATGTGGGTTTTTTCCCCCCTAGAAAATTCTGAGTCTGTGATTAGTTTTAGATAATAATGCAGGCAGACCAAAAAAAGGATATTTTTTTACATCTGTACACTTCCTCGGTGTAACATGTTAAAACTCTTACTAGTTTTATTTCCCAGTCTGCCACAGAATCACACACAAATTAGGAATAAGGGTGCAATAAAGAGAATGAAATCCAGTTAAAACATTGAAGAGCTCCTCCAAAGGAAGTGGCACAGTCCCAAGGACTTGACCACAGCTCTAACTAAGAGGAAAGAGCAAACATGCTGGACTGAAAATCATAGAAAAGAACAGTCCAGCACAGAGTCTTTAAAAAAAAAAAAAAAAAAGGAAAAAACCACAAAAACACACCAAAAAACCCCCAAACAAAAAACCAAACAAAACAACAACAAAACCAACAACAAAACCCAAACAAACAAAACCCCAAAACAAACAAACAAACAAAAAACCACGATATTTTGTGGGTGATTGTATTTATTCCTCAGTTAACAACTGAGGTTACCTGTCACTAAAACCATGGGACATCTGAAACCAGGGACAAATTATTTCAGTAAACTAATGCTGAATTTGAACAAATTTGTCAGTACAAGCACAGCAGAAAGACAAAGACCTTTAAGTACCATCTTAGGGCCATGCAAGGGAGTGGCACGTTCAGTGCAGGACACGTCCCTAAACTTACTTAAAATGGACTACTCACATCACAGAACCTGCTCTACTTTCTGGTGCTCAAGATCAGAGCTGTGCTGAAAATCTGCCAGAAGTTCAGCTCAGATCCACATTTCACCAGAAGACTGAAGCCCAACAATTTCGTTATGCAGAAAATTTTTCAAGCTGTGATGGTTCAAGGTCTGCCCCTCACGAAGTTGCAACTGGGCAATTTTATCCATTTACCTTCTCCACTTTGATTTCACTTTCAGGATAGAACAACAGAAAAAAAACAGACTGTGGAACAGTGTCCTCTGCAAAAGCTTTCAATCACATTTGTGAAAGGCAAATTTTCTACAGCTCTATGGTGAAATTAATTCAGACTTGGATGTAATGGTTACAGAATTATTTTTTGAAGGTGAAGGAAAATAATATGAACATATACTCTGCGTTTTCTGCTGTTGCTCTAATACAAATTAATTACATGTCTACTGCAAACTTTAAAATACAAGTTTGACACATCTGATCTACTTACTTTGCCATCCACTTCAAGAATGCTTGAAAGATTAAAAAAAGTAAACTTATTAGATCATCATAAGCAGAGAATTAAACAGCACAACAGTCTAGATATGTAAGTAGCTATGTCTAAGCAACCACGAAAGATGCTTCTAAGAGTTAACTTCAGAAACATTGCTTCAATAAATTATAATAATAAAACGTGATTAAGTAAAATCAACTTCACCGCCTTGATTTTAGATGGGAAATTAATATTAAAAAAATGCAAAAAACCTTGCTGCATTGTCTGAACTACCCTTTTTTTTTTTTTTTTTTGCATAAGCCCTCCACAGTTTCCAGTGTCTATGGAAGTGTTTTCTTCTTTCCCATACAGATCTCATTTTCTACACCTCTGCTTTCGGTAGTTTGAATGAGATGGCACTGCCGAGATAGGAACAGCCCAGGAACTGTCCAGGTTAAGTTTCTGCTGGCAGGAGGAGTTCTCTGGTCTGTGTCAAGTCAGGCTGGGTTGCACAAACCATGTATTTAACACCCAGATGATTTTTCATCAGTGTTTTCCATGAGGAAAAAAAATCAAATTAGGCAGCCACAGCATAAAAACTTAAACCAGTGCAGCTGCTTGTAAGCTCCTCCCACAGTCTGTGTTCACTGAGCTACGGGGGTAAATCTGACCTGAGGGTAAAACAAACTGGTAAATAAAATCAGGTTTAAAGAACTGAAGGACACAGCTGCAGATCCAGAGCAGCCCCTGGGGGTGTGCCCTGATAAACTGGACCGAATCGAGCATTTCCCACATACACATCACATCCCAACAGACACAGGGATTTCAAGACAGCCTGGAGATAACCAATTTGAAATGAGGAGATTACGGATTAAAGGAGAGCTCACCAACACAAGGCTGGGGGAGGGAGCAGTGGCCACGCTCGCCCCTTGAGCCGAACACCGAGACGTGCAGGGCTGTGCAGGCATTTCCAGAGCAGCCCAGCCAAGCTCTCAGTGAAACCCTGAGCGGTGCCACCCCACTGCTGCTGGCTTAGCATGTGCTTTACCTGGATTTTTAAGATGGTTCTTGAAGGGTAGCACTAGGACAAGGCTTCCCTATATTCAGAAAAACACTCCCAAGATAGAGGGAGGGGAGTTGGTAAAACAAAGCAGGAGCTGCCTGCAAGCCTAAACCTCTTAAAGCTTTCTCCAGCTAACCTAATTCATACCAAGTTGACAGTAAATTGAAATCCAGGGATGATAACCCACAGGTATCCCACAGAGAAATTCCATCAGGGTAACAAAAAGTCTTTCACACAAATCCATATAATCTAAATAGAATTGCTAACCAGAGGCTCCCCACAGTGACTGGAAATTTAGGTTTAGGAGGAAAGGCTCCCCTCTATAACCCTGCACACACCAAAACCCTTTCCATGGGCAGCAGATTGGAAAAAAAATAAAGTGGCATGTGGATTTAATGCTTGCCATCTAGCTTGGGGCTTTGCTCAGTGCTACCGAAGCAAACATCACAGCTTTCTGAAAACCAAGATCATACGGGAAGCTCTCACCTGGAGCACGGGTTAAGGTGTAAGTAGGCAGTACTACCTGGATGCAGGAAGGTTATTTTAAAACAAAGTTAGCCCAGGAAAAGGTCAGTCAGTCATTAATGTGGAGCACTAAAACCAGCACTACCCCATATGTGAACGAAGGATTTAAGGCTGGTTAGAGTGTCTTGATCTGTAGGAGTCTGAGCCATGGCTGCTGCTAAGCTCCCAAAATAATAAATCAGTAGTACATGAAGCCATGAGAGGGTAACTACTGGAAAAGTGGGGAAAGATTTTCTAAACTCAGACAAGCATCCTTGCAGTTTTCTGAAAATAAGTGTGCAAGTTACACAGCCTGTACATCCTATAACCGGAGTGGGGTTTTCCGTAGTTGTGTGTTTTGGTGGTTTGTTATTGTTTGTTGAAGTAGGGGCAGTGCATTCAGGAAGGCAAGCCTGACAGGAGAATCACTTTAAAAGGTCAAGGAAAACAGACCTGAAATGCCAGAATATTGCTTCCAACACCAAGCGTTTCGTACTGAGGAGCGCACAACACACTCCTCCTTCAAACTGCTGGGGCTTCCATAAAATACCCCATGGAAGTGGGACACTGCACCTGTCTTCTCACAGTGGCATTTAAGAGCAGGTTGGGAAAATGCCTGACTTGCCCCTTAGATGAAAACTCAACTGGTCAGTGTGTTCCCCAGCAGGAACAGTGTTTATTTATGAGTGAGCCCAGAAATTGGGACCCAGGTAACTGCCTGCGAAGAAAAATTAAATGAACTACAGACTGGCAGGAAAAAAAAATCAGATTCCACTTTGCACAATTATCTTTGGCCCTCCTATCAGCTAACAAGGATACTTTGCTGAATTTAAAAATAAACTGAAGGAAATTGGAGAATGTGTTTTAAGGGCACGGGCTTAAGCTGTGCCAGGGGAGGTTTAGGTTGGATATTAGAAGGAAGTTCTTTACAGAGAGTGTGATCACACATTGGAATGGCCTGCCCAGAGAGGTGGTGGATTCACCGTCCCTGGAGGTTTTTAAGACGAGGCTGGATGTGGCACTGAGTGCCATGATCTGGTAATCACAGCGGGGTTGGATCGAGGGTTGGACTTTATGGTCTTGGAGGTCTCTTCCAACCCAGTTAATTCCATGATTCTATGACTTTATACCTACCCAGTCACACTACAAAAGCTGGCATGGATTCTGCAAAACCTTTTTTTGACCTGCACCCTTGGAGTCTTCCCAAAATCAGGTGCATATTAAATCCAGAATACTGCCTGTTTTATCTTTCCTCAAAAGGGTGGCTTCTTCAAACTCTGCCCTGGTTCCAGGGAGAAGCTTTGAAAACCTTGCAGTGGGCTCAGTTTAGCCAAGCCCTCTGCTGATGGGTGATGCAGGCAGCAAGATCTGCACACCTACTGATGGGTGTGGGACACACCTGCAGCTTGAAATGCTTAAAGCACACTACAACAGTAATAACCACTTACAGGGCACCATAAAGTGGGATATGGAATTGTTTAACAAGGTGCAAATTTAGCATTCCCATGAGGATAAACCGAGCAGGGATTACTAAGCAAGCATGCAGATTAAAGTCAAGGGCATTGCTTCAAAATCTCAAAATATACTGCACAAAAAAATTTAGAAATTTTATAAAGTTTTAAAGTATTTGTTCAGTGGACTGAATTGTCTTGAGAGATGCAGAGCTTATCTCTTCTAGGCTACTAATTAAAACATTTTCAGGTTTCAAAAACGTAGCTTTGCATCTGTCCACAGCCACAATTTACATCGAGAGACACCAAATGCAACTGGTTATAAACCACAAGTTTATACGCTCATGGAAAACTGCTCTTTGGTATTTATGTTCTGGTAGGAGTAAAAATAAGTAACAACCCTAGATGCCTGCTGTGATTTAAGTGCTGTGGTTCTACACAAACATTTTATCCAACACAAAGCACATCCCCACACAGGATCGCTCTGCCCTGGATGTGCAGCATCTCCTCACTGAGTGTGGGTGTTATCAGACACCCATCTCAGTAGATCCATGGAACAGCAACTGCTTTAAAGCACATTCACAGAACTTTTATAGTTCACACTCCTGGGGTTATTTCACCAAGACTGAAAATAATCCATTACGTAAAAACTTCAGCTGCAGACAAACTAAGGGAGACAGGGGACCAGACACAGAGGGTCTGAATCTCCAGGGCAGAAGTTCACATAACGCATGGAGGTTCACATCTTATTATCAAAGCAATTAAACGCCTGCTCAGCACAACTGTTTGTCTGCAAAGCTGCAAACACGGATATACTACTCTAATACTGGAGGAGGAAGGGTCAATAAAGCATCTCCAAGCAGAACCAAAACTGCTGGGAAAAGCCTCTTCCTACTGTACCTAATTTCAACAGAGCACGCCAGATCAATCTGTAAAGCAGGTGCATAATACATCACCAGCTACCCCTCCCTCCCTGAGCCAGATGGTGTAGTATTTCACTCAATTTATTTGAACCTCGCCTAAAATGTCTGTAAAGGGCTTAAAAATTCTGCAGTGGGAGAGAAAACTCTAGTAGAGGGAGTATACAGGAAGACTGATGTCTGCCCATGAGCAAACACCGGGCAGGTCTCTGGAGAAACGTGGGACTCTTCAGGGGAGAAACGAGCTGGGAGAAAAGCTGTACAGGCAGATTTATTCCTTCTTCTTCAGGAGGACATTCACAATTAAAAAAAAAAAAAAGAAAAAAGGGAAGAGATTTGCCAGTTTTCATAGTATAACATTAGAAACTCGCTTCAAAATAAGCTTAAGGTTTTTGACTGGATGATGTGACAGCCTGTGCATTTGCAGTGTATGGCTGATACCACATCCCTTATGCAGACAAGCAGGCACAACATTTAACTCTCTGCCAGTCTCACTTAGCCCTTCTGCTCCTTGTGAACACATTTTTCCTTATATTCATAGCTGAGGGAAATAAAGTTCCATTACAGCTATGTTCATATAAAGAAGTATCAGCAGACACCGAAGAAATGTGAATAAATCCAAGCACAGACCTTCCTAGCAAGAGCACTTGCATAGCCACCCCCCACTCAGGATAAATGTATCATTTATCACATCCATCCTCACATGCAGAGAGATGCAAAACATCTGCATCAGCTCAGTATGATGGTTTGCATTTGTTGGTTTGGGGGGTGTGTGTGGGGAGGGGTTGTTTGTTGTTTTGGTGTTTTTTTGTTATATCAACAGACAACAGTTGTAATTCCGGGTAGGAGTGTGTGATGCATCAGCCAATTGCCTTGTTTCCCAAAGGAAGCAAATCTGTAACACAAAGTTGGGTCTTTCACTGCTTCCTGAGACGAATCAGAAGCGCTTCCACAGCTGGGGCATCTTGGCCCTGCCTGTGCCACCTCTGCATCTCTTGGATGTCAGCTGGTTGTGACACTTTCTTCCAACATGCACCTCCTGAGGAGTGAATCCCACAGGGCTGACTTTAGGACACTGCTCCTTCCTTCACTGCCAAGGCAAATACAATTAACGACAATTTTCAAGAGCATCATGTTAAAAGAGGCACTGCTGGATGAAAGAAAGAGTAATTTTAAAATAAATCCCAGGTCTGTCTAAATCTTTTGTGCTATTTATGCTGTTACAACTTTTTTTTCATGTTGCACAATGAGGTTTCTGAATTGTCTAGAGAAAAAGTGAACAAATTATTGCTGAAAGGTCTTTTTCAATCTAAATTATTCCATTCTATGAAAGAACCTTCATCCCACTGTTGTTCTTTTTAGCCACAGAAATAAAAACAATGCCTTTGTTAAGATCTACACTAATTTATGCATTTTGACCTGACTCCAGACAATACTCACACGGAGACCAATATGAAACAATGCTACTTTTTAAAATCCCTCAATCTATACAATCTCTTATTTTAAGGAACAAGGTTACATCCAAAGACCTGTTTGTATCCATTAAATCACATTTAGCTTAAACCAGCAAACTGTAATTTGCAACAATCCAAACAAAAGCTGAAAAATAAGTGTTGAATTTCTATGGAAAAAATAGCGTTTTCCTTCTCCTGTACACCTCAGATAATGCATCCACCATAAAATGGAATTTGTTGTTACTCCAAGTCCTTCACCATTTAAAACAAGATGAGAAAGGAATAACCGAGCTGGCCCAGAAAATACGCCAAATTCAAATCCGACTCAAGCGTATTTTTTAAATTGCCTACAAGCTGACAATGAAAACATCTACCTGCTGAACATCCTTCTGCAATCCTGATTCACTGAGCCTGATAAAAAAAACCCAATCAATTGACAATGTCCACACTGAAGCTGCCAAATCAGAGCCCCCACTGCACGGTACGGCACCTGCAGTGACTGACCCTCGGCAGCAGCACGTTGGCACCCCGAAATTGTCCCTCTTTTCCCTCCCCCTCTGCCCACCCCCAGCATCAGGGAAGTAAAATGTACACAGCACATGGTGACATGGCTGAGCCTTTAATGCAGACAGTGCTGGCTCATACAGGGGTGCCCCAGCTTACCTGTGGCTTGGCAGAAGAGGTGGAACGGTCGCCGGACACTGACATGCTGTGTCTGGTCACTTAGGAAAGGTGGCAACAACATGACCTTTATGGGGTCTGGGCTAGACCAAACATCAGGCTGGGTACTGGTGGGTGAAGGAGGAGAACCACTTCCCACACAGGACAAAAAGGAGGTACCAGTAGGAGGGAAAGGTATAGGAGATGAGGCTGTGTGACAGAAGAGGACAGAAAAGAAAGTGAAAGGGTACTGAGGAAAAAAGTTGTAAGAAATACATCACACAACGAAGAAATAATGCAAAAAGACAAATGAATTTTAGAAAGGTAGTAAGAGAAGTGTCCCTTGGCCCCTAGAGGAAAGCACTTTCCTCCTTCACCCATGGTTTTCCCCCTCCCCCATCCTTCCAATCCCTCCACCCTGGGTTATAACCTGTTTCATAGAAATCAAGAGGCTGTTTCAAATCAACCACAAGAAAGTTTTCTATTTTCCCCTTGAAGGAAACCACAAGGAACATTAGTGCTTGCCAAATGGAAAGCAGTGTCATGGTGTCACGTTTCATAAATAATACAATTTATTTTAATATTTATTCTGTTATATGTACATAATTAAAAATAGAAAAATAAAACCAAACTGAATCTTATAAAATATAAACTGTTTACAACTAAGATGGCCTAAAATATGTTCGCATGGAAGTTCAACAAAGAAAAGCAGCCCAGGCATTCTGCTGTTTACTGGTAAAACAAATTCTACTTCTAGCAATATTTACAGAAAGATGCAGTGAGAGGAACAATTCTTCAGGACTGTTACTGCACACAAAATGCTTTTACAGACAAACAGTGCTGCTGTGAACCAGGCTGAGAACAAATGCACACTTTCACGTCAGCAGGCATGATTCACATAAACAGCTCAAAGGACTGATTGTTTTAAGCAGCTCCAGTTTCAGTCTCCAGTTGCATAGGAGAGTGGAAGGTATCATCCAGAAAAGGGTGATGCTGCAAAGATTTGTCACAAAAAGAAGCTGAGTTATTTCTGAATCTGAAAAGAAGAAGAAATAAAATCGGCAACGTTTTCTCATCAGGCTGAGTCCTTACAGTCCACTTCAGAGAGTCATCAGATGAATTGTTGGAATTAATTCTTCTTAATTCCTGTTTTGCTTCCACAATGCAACAAAACTCTTTCCTTTGTCACTGCTAACTGACAGTTGCTTGACTGTACTGTTTCATTAACTAAACAACAAAAAAAAAAATCCAGTTTTGTATAGAAAATAAAACATCATTATGTCCAGCTTTCTGGCTGGTGGGGGGGAGGAAAAAAACCCCAAAAACAAAGAAAGAAAAGCATTTATTTCCTCCTTCCCCATTCCCCACTTACTCCATGTTTTGTACTGATATTGTTGTACCTACATTTCTAGAAAGCAGCAAAGAAAAAAACCTTTAAACAAGATTATCCCTGAGTCTTACACAAATCAAGGCAATGCTATCCCCATTGTACCTTAAAATCTAAGATACTTAAAAAGTAGTTAAAAAAATTAACTTTAACTAACTAAAGAGATCTAGTGTGACAAAACACAAAGCATAAAACTAAAAATAATCACTAGAAGCAAAGAAAAAAATGTCCCAATCTGGACAAAAGTCTATAATTTACCAATCTGATAAACTAAACTCAATTTCCAATTTGGAATTAAAATGAAACTAGGTCTTTTTTTAATGGCAACTAAAAATGTGTAGACTGAAGTACTTTTTAAAGCCAACTGAATTAGAAAGTTACTTTTACTCTATGGAAGAACATGGCCAAAGAACAAGCAAGTAGCTTCACTAGAGCAAAACGCTCAGGGGGGGGGGAAACCGGGAATAAACAAGTGGTGATCTGAAACTGGCCATTTAAAAAAAAAAAAAAAATTTTAAAAAAAAAAAAAAAAAAAAAGGACAGTACAACACAAGATGCCATGGTCTCCAGACAAGAACACCACTTCTCTAATCTGCTGAGATCTGAACGAAAACGGGCTTGCTGTACAGCTTTAAGCACGAGAACCCCGCTCTGGCTGCCCGCGCTCCGACAGGGACCACGGCGCGCGAACGCGCGGCCCTCGCTCAGTCCCCTTCCACGTCCGAGTCCGCGAACTTGAGCTCACACTTGACGTCGAAGGGCTTGTCCTTGGCCTCCCGGGACGCCTGCGAGTCCCCGGCCTGCAGCTGGCTGTTCCCGCAGTCGGGCTCCGTCTCGTAGCCGGTGTCGTGCGCGGGCTTCGGCTGCTCCCCGCTCTGGTGGCTGACGCTGCCCTGCTCCACCAGCGTCTCCTTCACGCTCTGCTCGCAGTCGGAGAAATCCGACTTGGTTTTCTTCTTGCCGAGCAGCATGACGGAGCGGAACTTCAAGCACTGCCCCGGCAAGTACCCCTTGTAACAGTTGTAGGAGAGCAGGCACAAAAAGAGAATGAAAAAGAAGAGGAAGAGGAACATCAACAGGAAGTTGTCGTTCGACTTGAGGAACATCGTCTTTTCTGGGACCGCGTCGGGGATCGAGTTGAAGAGCTCGGTGTTGGAGGCTACACTTGTTAGGACAGGGCCAATGGGCTTTGTTACTATCCTTGCTGTCGTCACTGGTACCATGTGAGTGGTCGAGGTGTGAGCAGCAGAGCCCTCGGCTGACACGGCTGGCGCTCTGGGCACATCACTATTACCTTCTGTTGGCGCGGCTGCTGCGGTGGGGCCCGCCACGGTGTGCTGTATTTTTTTCAGTTCCAAAACATGCTTAGCCAGCACCTGAGAGAATTTCTTGTTCTTCACTTTTTCTTCTGACAAACACTGGTAAACACCACTGTCTCCTTCTGATAAATTGAAGATGAGCAGTGCCTTTTCCAGCAGACGGTACTTGGGACTCTCCACTCTCAGCACATCATCTTTGAACTTCCAAACTACCTGTGCCAGATTGGACTTTTGAGAACACTTGAGTTCTGCTGTGCTCCCATGCTTGAATGTATGCTGTAGGGGATTCTCTCTTACTTTATCTGGAACATCAAAATAAATGTGCAGAGTATCAGCAACGATTCCAGTTTCTCTAATCTGTACAGCTTCACAGGACTGCGCTAACAGTCTTAATGGAAGTGTGAAGGTTATGGCATTCACCTCACAAGACCAAGATGACAGCATGCAAGAACCTCAGTGGAACACCAAGCTACAGCTGGACACCAAACATCCAGACAGGCTACGAGATAGGACACCTCAAACTCTAAGACAGCCTTCACTTCTAGACAAAGAGGAGACCCTTCTGATCCACAACTGAGCGTGCACCTGAGACGAGTCATTCAGGCAAGATACTGAACTTGGGAGTAAATCAAACTCTTAGGAGCTTTGTTTACTGCAGCTCAAATCTCCTGTAACACTACTCCCTCTTTAAGATGTCCTTGATCTGGTGGCAGCAGCACACACTACAAAGAAAGGACCTGTGACTGGTTACTTGCCTTAGAGCACTACGGAAGGTACTTCAGCTGCTCTGTACTGTGCTCCAAGTTCCCCCTCCCCTCTCACTATAAAATCAGCTTTTCCCCCGAATGACTTAATTAATCTGATCTAGCAGCAATAACCAAGCGCTTGTCAAGGCTCACAGTAGAACGTCAAATGCTGTATCAAAGAGACAGAGGCCTCTGCAATAGAAGTACTTCTGGTATTGCTCTCATTCACAAGTCACTGCTGAGGCGCCCCCGTTCATTTCAGGGGGTTGTGCACTGCACACTGAAATGCACACAAACACAGACATTTTAAGACAACATGCAGGCTGTACAGAGATGCTCCAATATTCAAAAGCAGAATCTCATACCTATAAGAATGTAAACGCATGTTCAGATAATCACAAAAGCAAAGCTGAACTAAACACAACTCTTTCACTACTCCACCCAGACATATGAGAGAGCTCTTCAAAGACTAACTCACCAGAACAAGAAGATGCATCTCCACCTATGTTCTGAATCCAGTTCCTGTAAAAGGAAGCCCAACCATTAAAACTTCAAATCCTGTTTCCTAGAGCCTGCCCATCCCCTTGTACTAAGTCATCTCAACAGCATTAGCAGACACAGATGGTAGGAAAAAGTATTTGGTTTTTAAAATTCCATTTATCGGTAAGGGACAAGACTGATTAAATACTGACTGTAACTGCAAGGTCTTCAAATGCTACCATTACCTTTCAGTTCCACCTTCCTTAAAAATGTCAGTGCAGGAAGCTTCAAGGGGTTTCCAAGCACAGTAAGGATCCCTTGCTAAAACACAGTCAACACAAGTGGTGTACTTGTCACAGAATGCCACTGGAGACTGAACCACTCCAGAATTTGAGCCAGCGAAGAGGTATTTTCTGCCCTAAAGAGAAACAAACAAAGCAAATAAAAAATAAGAATCAGAAAGAAATCACAGCTCATCACTTCCTCAAAGCCAAAAGCTCAATTCATTAAATGCTTTAAGTATCATTGGAGAGTTGCACACATTCAGCCATGTCTGTAACGACTGGTGTACAAGGGGAAATAAGCATTTGATTAGCTTTTATTTCTAGGAATTGAAGTTGAAAATATTGCAGCAATGCTGAAAGTGCAGAAAAGACAACAAAAACCTGAAACAGATACAGTTCATGACAATGGAAAGTAATCATATCTAACCATGGCTTTATTACAGAGTTTTCTCAGAAATATGAATGCTCCAGCAATCCTTCTGTGAGGCAAGGCAAGACTGTGAGGATGACGAGCCTGGAGCAGGCACATGCAAGCCTAAGCAGGCTCTGTGCAGGACCTGCTCCTGTTAACCCAAAGCAGCCCTACTGCCTTCAGCTCCATCAACCAGCCAGGCCTCTGCCTCAGCTTCACCAGAGCCAAGTGCTTTCCAAGGAGGAACACTGGCAGTATCCAAAGGAAAACAGCACTGGCAAGACACCAAGGAAAAGGTGTCTTGAACCATTGCTGTTGGCATCCCAAACAAATGTCACTCAACAACAGGAAAAGACTCATCCCAAACACCTTCCTATGAAAGGCAGGAAGCTGTCATATTTCACTCATCTGCTTTAAAGCTCAGGGAAGCTGATGGTTAAAGCTACACTGACTTCACATATTATTAGGCAAAGACTGAAGAAAGGGACCTGTGCTGCAACCCCAAACCACCAGTGACCAACCACCTCCTTTTGAGAGGCTCTGCACAGAAAGCCAAAGGGCACACCCCACCTTGGCAGTGGGCTGGCTTCACCCTGAGCAGAACACTGAGGGGATTTATCAGCACCCTACTGCAGTTGTCTCAGCAAATGGGCCAGATCCAAGCTCAGAGCAGCTCCTCCTGTAGTGCAGCCACACAGATCTCAGCACACAAACATCCTCAGGGGTCATGTCTGACCCCGGCAGAACGAGCATGGTCACAAAATGATGGGCAGACACCCAAGAAAGATTTCTTGTAGAGAAACATTCTTCAAAAATCTCATGTTCATAGTTGCAAAAGTTTTGTCTCCACATGAGAAAAAGCCTCAAGAAAACAACTAACACACTCTCTTCAGGGTGAATTTAGGTTCTGGGGCTCACTGATGCAATCTATTGCTAAGTATGTAGGGAGGATCTGCCATGAGAACTCAGAATAGGTCAGTGTCTTTAATGCAAGGATCATAAGAAAGTCTCCTGAGGAAGTTACCAGACCAAGCACAAATTAGTTTAGATTGGTCTCACATATGAAGTGTGCAGACAGCTTTCAAGGACACTTTCTACACTGGATCATCTGACTCTGCCCAGCACACTAAACAATGTGGGAAGGACCTGGAAACTACTGAAGAATGTGCTCAGAAAGGACTCTGACTCCAAAGAGTCCTAAATCCCACCATGAGGGCAATTATTACCCTTCTGTGGTTAATCCACTACTGTGGGATGCCATGACGTGTATCAAAAGCTCTGTGGACTTCAGCAGCCACTGACTATGGAGGCAGAAACTTGAGTTTTCATGCTGGGGAGCAGAAGTAAATCCCTGCCTGGGTGGTACCACGACTATACAGCTTCCACAGCTGGCACCTGACCCCACCTCCCGCTCATCATCACTGAAAAGGACCTCTGCTCTTATGAGAATGGACAGGGCAGCACTGCTTCAGTTTCGGGGTGCAGTTCTATGTGTCAACAGTTATATCACGAAGCAGTGTTTTGCTTCAACTCTAAGCTCTGAGAGAAGTGAAAAGACAGAGCACTGCCTGTGCAGCCTCTATGCCATGACTCAGGATATTCTTGAGGGACCGAGCAGGGGACACCTGGACTAAGAATGAACACATTCAGTGCCATTATTTCTATACTAGTCCAGGCTATCAAGTATGTGATGGAACTGCTACATCACATGTCTTCAGTACAAGGCTATCTCTTCTCTAGCACAACCCAGGAATGGAGGAGTCATAAGCAAGCCAGTGTATGAATAAACCCACACTTAGAAGGATGGGCATCAGATATTTATTAGTTATCTATCATTATATTCTGTCATAGGGCAAATTCTGAAAACTCCTGTCAAAACAAGACATTTGAAGCTTTCTTTGCAGATAAAGCAGAAAAAAACAGTAAATACTTTATGTACATATAATACATACACACTTAATATGTATCTAGAAACATATGTAGCGAGCTGCCAGTGTGATGCATCATACAAAAATAATACAAACATCTTTACTGAAACCTATTAGCAAGGAATTTTTTAAGCCTGATTTTCACTTGTCCAGCATAAATATACTCTGTCCTCATGCCTTCTTCCTATTATAAGCATGAAAGGACAAATAAGCGTGCAAGCTGAGCTTGTAGGAATTATGACATAAAGCTCTGTTCCACTGAGCTGATCATGCTGACATGCAAAGTTCTATTAAGTATCACAGGAAAATAAAAGCTGTTTCAAAGATATGTTGGCAGCATTCCTAAATCCCTAAGCTGCAGAGAATTCATCTTTCACTAGGTAGCTACCGAATGCCGGTATTACTACCAGACACTTCAAAACAGGCATTTCAGTCCCTGAAATCTTCGCTGTTTGAGGGGCCTGATGCTACAAACTCACTGCTCAGGGCACAGATACAGGCATTCATGGATCTGCAGGTCTGAGTAACTACAGCCAGAAACCCACCTCGTGTACAAACTACACACAGCGATTATCCTCCTCCTGTCACAAAACCCCTAGGATTAAACCAAGCCACCAATAACCTAGTGCAGGGTGGCTGCTGGGTTTGGAGCCTGCTGCAGGACTTGTCTGGTGCCCCACTGGGCAGACAGGACCTCACCAGAGATCCTCACCCAGAGCTGCACTGACGTGACTGCGTTCACGGCGAGTCCAGCACGCAGCAGCCTGAGCCATCTGAGACAGCAGAAACCAGTTATCACACAATTATCTGTTCCCTGTGCTAGACAACGCTGTGCTCTCTTCTTAGGTCGGTTTCTTCAGAACCCACACCACTCCTCTGCTAACCTCACCCACAGCATTTTTCCTCGCAGACCAGCAGTGGCCACCAGAGGTCGGGGTTTTTACACTGCTCCTAACCCAGAACCTGGTATTTTGAAACACCCTGAGAGGCTTTCAGCTTCTGCACAAGGAATCAAAGTGAAATCACGCCTCCCCTCCCGCCCCTTCCCCGTGTTCACACACATTCAGAACCTTGGCCCCTACCAAACAGACTGAAATGCAGCAGGCTGCAGTGCTGTGAGTTACAAATGCAGCTTTTGGGGAGGTACACAGTGATGGTCACCCGTCATAGGATTATAAAGTGGCACTAAAAAGTTTTGAGGGAAGAATAAAATGAGATGAATGTTGTGATGCTCACAGCACTTACTGTTTTGGATGAAAGCAAGAGAGTTTGGACCGGTTCAAAACTTGGAAAAAACTGTGTTTCTTCAATAATATGCATTCCATTTTCATAGCTGATGGCTTTGTGCACGGCTCCTCGATCTGAAACAACAGAGCAATATGTTTAAGTAAGATCCTCGAAATAAAAAGGCAGGAAAAACACCTGCAAAATTGCTTTGTCTCAGTAATCTGCTTGCTGTTCAGATGAAGACTTCATATAACTCTCTGTCAAAGGCAACCATTAAATCTGCCATCAGCAGGAGCTCTGAGCAAGAAGTAACATTTTGGTACACACAGTGATCACTTAGGGGTTGTTTTCTGTGTGTTTTTGCTGCACTCATGCAGCTTTGCAGTTTCTTTTCCCGCAATGCCTCTTCAAGGTACGTTAAGACTGCCCACTTACCGTGGCACCTCACCTTTCCATGGAAACACCAGCTGTACAAGTGCTGCAAACACAGAAATCTCAAGAGTTTCCCTTTGAGAGCTCAAGAGTCAGTGTACCATTCTTTGCAGAACTCACCTGTACCGATGAACATCACATCATACATGGTGCCATTGAGTGCTCTGACTCTGTCCACTACAATCTGTGTGTACTTCACGTCTTGCTTCACCAGCCGAGGTCTGTCTCCCATGGGGGTCACCGAGTCATCCATCAGAGGATGGTCTCTAACAAACTGCAGTGTCTTGTCTGGTAAATTCAGCGAGCTCATGTAGCTTGACCCTCTGGCATCGTTGTTTATACACTAGCAGGAGGACGGGGAGAGGGGAGGGAGAAAAACCAAAATGGAACAGACAATCAAATTATACCATTTACTTGTACAAAAAATAAAGATGCAGCTGCGTGCATTTTATTCTCTGTAACCACTCTGGCCAGTAAGCACACCTTTACACTGCACTTGTTCCACAGAGGCAGGTCCTCAGGTCTCCTAACACTCTGGCTTCTGTGCTGTACTAATCCCTGAGCCTTGGACTACGTTTTTGTTTGGTCTCAGAATACATTCTAGGAAAATATTCCTTCCCTAACTCTCCTGCATTTTAACTGCTTTTAAATGTCACCTCATTCAGCACTAACAACAAGATGACCGTAAGGAACATAAGGAAAGCAAGACAAGTCTGAAAGAGACCAAGCACTGTGAATATTTTAGTTTGCAAAGCAATGCACTGCCTTGGATAAACATGCTGAACCTACAGAGACAATGCAACAGTCGCTATACTTCTGTTCATTTGAGCTCATAAGTAGTTGATGTTGCTCGTATAAACTGAGTTCTGTTTCACCACCAGAATGTTATTAATAATTAATATCGAAACCCAGCAAATAACTCAATTCTAAATTAAAAAGAAAGACTTTGTTTCCCAGGTACAAAGTTCAGAACATACCACTTCACTGGTTTTGTACAGTCTTTGCCACAAGAAGCAACCAGGTAGGGCAAACAAATAACTCAAAAACCTAATGTTTTTTAGTCTCTTTACTTTTGAGCATTTAAAAAAAAAAACCAGTCATCAGATCCAAGATTACACAAACTTACCGCCCCAGGCCGAGGATTAGGAATTTCCCCATTGTATCGGACCCACTTTGTATGAGCCTGTTCCACTATAGCACTCTGCATGTATTTTCCTTTCGAGAAAACCTCTTCCACAGTAGACAGACTGTATGCACACACTGCTGACAACCCCACGTTGTTCCTAGAAGTTCAGGAAGAGATTAAAAAAAAAAAAGAAACAACACCCCCCAAAAAAACCCAATTATTAGAGCAATTATTAGTTCTTGTAGTAAGTGATACTGAAGGTAGTTATCCAGGAAAAGGCTATGCCACACTTACAGCTGTGGGGTGAAGACTCCATATATCACTGGTTCCTTCAAAGTCGGAGACTTGAGAATAAAAACATCATTGATAACATTGAAAACTAAATTCTTATCAGGGATGGTACAAATCAGCCTGGCCTTGAGAAAGGACGTCCATTTTTTCTGCAAGATCCTTAATCCTCCTTGGTCCCTCTTGTGATATTAAAAAAAAAAATAAAAAGGTGTTTGTGAGGAGAACTAGCAGCATTTTTGCATTTAAGAACATTGTTATAGCATGAAACTACTAAGCTCTGTTGCTTTCTAACACTTCATCTATACAACATCAATAAATGTTAGCACATGCACAAACAGAACAGTAAGAAAGCCACAGGAAAACTGATTCAACAAAAATAATGCAGAGCTGTTTCTATCACAATACAGGCAAGGTGGAATACGAGAGTTAATGAAGAACCAAACTTTCTGTGATAATTTCATTAAAAGAAATGCAGCAATGGTTTCATCCTGCTAGCTGTTACCACCTTAATTCGGGATTTGCAGTACCAAGACTTAAAGAAGTTAAGATATATCAACAAGAAATGTTCCAAAGTATCGGATAATCAAGCTGTAGCTCCAATACTCCACTTCAAAAAGGAGGGCATATTGGAACTGTTATTAATAAATCCCATTCATTATCTGAGGGTGTTATGCAAAGTATTAAAGGAAATCTGCAAAATTTATTAAAACAATTAAGTATAAATGCTTATGGATTTGCAACTTGCCACTGACTCCTATTTCAAAGAGAACAGTCTGAAATACATAATAATGTAATAATGAAGTTCTCATATTCCATAATAGTCCCCTTTTAAAGCATGTACAAGCTGTCAGTGGGTAAAGGGCCATGAAAAGCCCAACATAAACCTGCCTCCAGCTCCCTGTTCAACAGAAATCTCAAGGGCACTAACTTTTTATTTATGTTTTGACTTCCATGTTTAAACATAAAACAGCGAAGTCAAAACAAAACTTTCAACCTCATAAAAATGCAACAGGCAGATAATTTCCTGTTGGGGGGAAAAAAAAAAAAACCTTGAGGAAATTGATACATTCCACTTAAAAGGTTTTTGCTAAATTAACATCTTATACTGGAAAAAACCTTAAATCAGCAAGATTTCCAACCAGCACTCCTGAGGAAATACTCAAATCAGCCCAACACACTGAGGTTTAAGCACAGTAAGTGTGACACAATAGGCTCCCAGTGACCATTTTCCTTCAGGCTCTGGCTAAGAGCTTCACAGAGGCCTCATCTGCTATACCACAGCCAAGAACTATTTTGCTGTGGACACAGATACAGTTCTGTTTGCATATAGGTGCTTGAAAGTCACCTGACAGACATCCTGTCTGCTCAGCTCCAACCAAAGTCAGCTCTTCACAGGGAGCTGAATTTGTCAAAAAAAAATAAAATAAATAAATAAAAAAAAGAAACCCTACAGAGACACCTTCTCTGTTGCTGGGTTTTGTCATGGTTGGTTTGTTTTCCCTCAGAGAAGAGGAGAACCCTTAAATGTATAAAAATTTCATTACTGTGCAAAATTAAATCAAGTACTTATTCACAAAGCAACCAATCAGGCTTTCCCAGTCCTGAAGACCTGACTGGAACTGCTGATTCACTAAGATTCACTAAATTCAACCACTTCCAATTAACTGGTAGTAAGTTCACAATAATAAATGCTTTTTAACACACATACACAAAATTCTAGTTGATATAGTAATAGTAAATTGAACTTTCTCCCACCTTGCAGACCCTAGCTATTCTTGGAATCATCAGCTTTCCAATACATTCATACTCCACAGACACCTCGGTGAAGAAGAAGTATATCTTGTCATCTTCTCCATCTGTGCTGTTTTGATCTGCTCTTATCACATCAGCAAAAACAAAATTGGGCTCTACAGACACAAACAGAAGAATTTTCCATTATAAAGGAGAGTACTAACCTGATTCCCTCAAAGACCCCCTAGGAGCTCCCTTTCACCCAAATTCCCCACTGCATTTACCTGCTCTCTAGTCACTGACCTCCCTACACAGCTGGTTGTTCATAATATGAATAGTATTTCTTAAAAACAAAACAAAAAAACCAACCAGGAACAGAAAAAGACTCCCAAACCCCACAAATCCTAAACGAAATCCCTAAGATACCTGAGAGATCTCTGCAGTAATGAGATGATTATTGCACCATAATGTTCTTCAGCCCATACTCAAACATGGTTTTCTAATGGGCCTGGAGGACATGACCTCTCTTGCCTGCCTCCCCTCTACTTCAGCTACTAGCTGAAAGACTAAAAATGACCTTACAACATGTATCACAAAACTCACTATCCTGTATTTTTTGGTTACGATGACCGTGATTTTGGTCCTTTTTGGCACAAAGCCTCAGACCTCTGAATGTTCACAAAGCTCAGTGAATTCTGAAATTCAGGAACTGAAATCATCAGGAACCCATCCCAATCCAAAAACACTGCCTTCCTTACTGTATCACAACTAAGCTGCATTACTGCGAAGAGGAACAACTAGATATAAAATAAACTGCAGCCATCAATGTCCAGAGTAAACCTGTATATCTTGAAGCTGTTTTCACTGTCAGTGCCGATAAAAACCCTAAAATTTCAAAGCTACATCTCTTGATGGCATGCACGAGGGCACACACTCACAAGCCAGGATAACAAAATCCATTCTCTCTGTCAGGCCATTGCTCCTTACACCCAGGAAAACTCTGTCAGTGTGGTGTTGAAGAAAGACATTTATTTGGGCCAGTTGTCATGCCCACTTACCATTAAGCCAAGGTATTGCATACTCTGTTCTCAGAGGGCTCTGATGAGAGTGCCGTGAAATAATGGGTTCACTTCCCAAGAAATTGTAAGAAGTCCCAGAATAAAGCTCCTCGTCTTTAACACAAAACCAAATATTATTTTAGATCGTATGGACTGGATACCAAAAAGGGTACATAAATATTTTCTGAGTCTGTGTAAGTTTAAGCTTCCCACAAGAAAAGATAAACAAGGACTTCCTCTAAATTGCCCTAGACACGTATCTTATGTTTACATTTCTGCTGACTGTGCTGAAGCCTAACACTTCACACAGTTTGGTTTATTGTTGCTCTAACACAAGAACTGACAAAAGTCAGAGTAGTTTTTGTGCTACTTTAACGCTTAACACGTAAACCTACAGTTCATGTAAAAACATGCAAATTTACTTTAATGCATCAGCAGTTTGGAATTATTTTTCTCTCTTTCTTTGCCACCATGATTCAAACTCGACTTCTAAAAATGTAGGCACAGTGCAGGGAGTTGTGCTCCCCATTTCCTGTGTCATCCTGTGTTGAGCTTCTCTCATGATCTTGTGACCCAATGGTAAATCCATCAGCTCTGGTTTACCCAGGTCGAGATTCAGGGGTGTCTTTCTATGCAGTCTAAGTCTACCTGCAATCAGTATCTTCCTTCCCTATTCTGTCTCATGGATAAGTCCTCAGGGCAGCTAAGAAGTACTACTCGTTAAATTTACTGAAATTGCATTAATTGATACTACAAATGCAGCCCAGTACATTTAAACTACCTGGACTAAACAAGTTGAACACCTGGAAACACAGTTTGAAAATTAGTATTTTACAGGTTGTTTCCAAAACAACCAAGAGTTTTAAGTTCTCCTTTAAAAAAAACACGTGAAGATTGACTAAATAAGTATTTTAATATCTTTACAGATACACAGTAAAGAAAAAAAATATGGATGCAAGCTACCATTTTGACATTGACAAACTGGAGCATGACAGTGGAAAAGACAGAACATTTTTATACATAAGAATGAAGTATGCAAAGGCTGAACTTACCAACCATAACAGATGTGTAGCTTTGAGCAGGATCAAATGGACACCTACCCTTACCATCCTCATTTTTACCTCCAAGTTCAAATGAAGTTAAGTTCTGCAAAAAAAAAAAAATCAAGTTGAAAACCACAGAACAACTCTTAGCACTCTTTTCTTTCAGCCACTCAACTCATGCAAAGCTAACTCAAAACTAAACACTAACTACTGGGCTGTATCATCAACTTCCAGCGTCAAAGACATTTGTGTAGAATTATAAAAGGAATATGTGTTTTTGGAAAACCTTATCAAGTCCCACAGACAGAGAAGAAATGTGATCCCAGTAATTTGTGAAGCCAGGAACAGAAAAGAGCAGAAGATGAAAAGTTAAATCAAGACAAACCTCAGGAAAGACACCCAAGGAGGAACTGCAGGGAAGTTAATTGATATATGGAAAGAACTGCCAATTATTGAATTAGCCTGAAAAAAAAGAGTCTTAGAAATCAAGAAGGCTTTCTGAAGTGGATTTAGCAATTTTCGAGATTACGGTAAATTTGTAAGATAGGGCATAATCCAAGTAAGGCTTTAAAAAGCAACAGAGTGTTTTGGCTGCTACTTTATAAATCCCTTAAAAACCAAGCGAATGAGGATCAGGAAGATGATGAACTGTAGCCACAGCACTGGGCAAGTAATCAGCTACACTGTGCACTGGAGACATTGGAAGCTAAGAACAGTGTCTCCTGGCAATACTCCAGAGGTGATGGCTGGCAGGCTTTGCAAGCAGGGGAGACAGAAAGGCACAACTACAAGATTTCTCAATTTTCAAATTGCTAAGAGACGCAGCAGGGAAAACGATACAAGAGTCAGCAGCGAGAAAGGGGAGTTTTCTGTGCCAAGACTTCACTCTGAAGCATTCAGCACTGTGAATCTGTGGCGTAGCCAGAAGCAGAGGCAAGACAAGCAGAGACAGGAATCTGAGAAATTTCGGGAAGATTTGGTAATGGGGTGGAAGTTGCAAACAATGTAATTTCAGTTTCAGAAACTGGTTTTATGCTAACGCACGACACACAAAGAATTATGAAAAAGTAAATCTGCAGTTAGGCAAGACGAATCAGGGATTAAGTGCTCTGAAAAAGGCAGCAGCACAGTTTATTTCCATACTCTACTGTGGGACAGTGCAATAAATGCTCCCAACCTCATGACCAGCACTGAAGACATAACAGTTTGGGGAATGGAGATCTGCTTGTCATTCACTTGAGCTGCTTTTAAGTTAGAGTTGTTGCTGGGTCAAAACACAGGTAGATCTCTTACCACGTAATCACATGTTGGCTGAAACGCATTAGTTCCACACACGTAGAGAAAAGTATCATTCAGCCGCTGCAAGACACGCACGTAGTTACGACACTCCGTCTGTAAGAGAGGACGAGGAAAGGACACGCCTGATAAACCACGGCTTCCACATTCCAACATAAACAAACTATCGGCTTGTCTGCTGCCACGCACACCAGTAACGCCGGGGTGACCCGTGGGTGACACTGGGCTACCATCTCCCTGCGACCTCCAGGAGCTCTAAATCAATCCTGCAGCATCTGGTTTCCTACAGCTGCCTCGGTATCCTATCAGGGTAGCATGACCAAGTACCACATGCTCAGTAGGACCCACCTCAAGGTGTTTTACAAAAGCACAGTCTCCAAACACACATCCAATCCATGGGAAAAACTACTTAAACACAAAGTAAGTTTTACATTTCACCATCCCTTGTACACCTGAAGAAAACAGTGACAGCCGAGGTTGTTTCTTAAGAGCAAAACCTGTAATTCCCCTAAATTAGCTATAAAGCTTTGTCATTTATTGCTGTCCTTCCATGCCCTTGGCTACCCTTCCCCCCAGTCTTTGATATCATCCAAGAAATCTTCTTAATTTCTCTGGCTCTGAAGCAGAACAAGGAGTTTGAGCAAAACCCTTAATAAAGGATACCATAAAGACTCAGATTAACAATGAAGAAAAACAACTCTAAGCACCCACTTAGAGAGGGGGGAAAAACCAGTATCAACAACATCCCTTAATTCTTGCTGGTGTACTGCCAGACGCCACCACGGAACTGCTGTTCCATAAACTCCTTAAACAAGCTTAAGCACTGGCCTTACTATTCCCTCTTATGAGACAAACTAGGTATTCCTGTGACTGCATGGCAGAAAACTGCAGGGAGGGGAAGAGAATAACACCAGTTTTGTGCCTGATGAAGTCCTTGAACAACTTCATGAATGCTTTTTGCTGGCATTACACACTATAGCGGTGATAGATGGGGGAGTATAAGAAACAGTAATAGTGGCTTAAAACCTTGACCCTTTTGAAACTACTGCACTATGCAAAACATCATGGCTACAAGAAATGTGACTACTAAAAGGTTAGGAGTACAACGAGGAAAAAAGCATGGCCATCAATACGTGTGAGTTGCTAAACTGGCGACATGGGAAAATGAAGAAAATAAATGTAGAGCTCTTAGGAAGAACCTATTTACGGGGTCTAGCATAACCCGCCAGTAATCTCTGCAGAGGACTTGTGGACATTCACACACAGCTGGCTAAACATATGCACATAAGAGAAACTCACATCTCACATTCATCATGGCTGTTAGTATTATTACTAGCAACCCCAGCTGAACCTGGAAAACACAAATAACATTTTCTAACCCCATCCTGAAGATGCAGTCAACGAGGAAACAGCCCTTAAATATCTGCCACACCTCATGTTTGGACAATGTACTGACAGCCCATGAAGGCAGAATGCCTGTCAGCCCTGGATGCAGCACTTGAGGCTTTGTAAGAGTGTGAAATGAAGAGGCTGCAGGTTTAAGGGTCACATCAATGCAACCGCAGAGCGGGACTGCTTTTCGCATTCACAGGACTTGCAGGATTCTGCTTTCAAACCTGTGCTAAAAGCCTGACTGACTGTCTTGCCCAGCAAACCCTCACTTTAGTATATCATTAAATGAAGTGGTTTTACAGGAGGGGAAAGGTACATCCACATACAGTCAGCTACCTCGAGTAAACCACCTCCACAGAGAGGCAACATCAGCAAGCCAGACCGCGCCCTGGCAGTCCCCAGGAGTCAGTGGTTCCTAGAAACACCCAGGGATCCCAGGGGTTGGAACTGCCTGCATTGCCAAGCCTCAGGAGGTCAGGCTGCTCAGGTGCCATAGGAGCTGTCTGGGCAAGGAAGGTGCACACCCGCTGAGCACCACAAGGAGACAAAGAATCCGGGGAAAAAACACCCTGGCCTAATACCAGACACCCTATGCCCTAAAGCAAAGCCAACACAGTTATCAGTCACTCTGTAAAACCAAGTGCTGGGAAGGAATTACTGCAATGACAAAACGCAGCAGTTGCTATCAGTTACTTCAGTGAAAGCAACACTGGTTTATAGTGTTTTAAGCTGCAAACCATTAAAACTAAGCACACATCAGGATGTGTTCAGATTTTCAGACATTTAAATAATATCACCAGCAAAAAGTAATGAACTATTACCAAAAAAAAACAAAACAAAAAAAAAAAACACAACTAAAAAAACACACCAAAAAACAACCCAAAACCAAAAAGCCACCAACCTAGGCATGTTGCAGTTTCTAATGCTCGAGTTAATTTAAAACATTCAGGTGATTATTTCAAAATCTAATTTCAAGCAGTTGGATACTTCCTTTTTTTTTTTTAACATCACTTCTCTTGAAGTGCAATGTGTAACATCTTTGTCAAAGTTCAATAAAAGTACCTGTTCTGATTTGCCCTTGACTGCGCATTTAGTCCTTTTGTCTTCTGCGGCCTTCCAGTGTAGCTAAGTGAAAAAAGAAGCAACAAAAAGGCACATTCAAAGTACTTTAATTCAATACAAGATCTGAAAACCTTGCAATAACACACAAAGGCATTCCTAAAACTATCCGCAGCAAATGCAAGTCATTTATTTTCCAAGTAGTTTTCAAAGGTTCAAAGCCATTCTTTCCCAGGGAGGTGACAGTTTCGAATTCATGTGCCTTAACCAGGACAAAACTACTGCTATTATATCTTTTGGGTTCATAACGATGACTCCCCTCAAATTGCTAATAAAATTTTCATTACCATATGCATTAGGGAGATGCAACTGTAACTGGTTTAGGTATTTTTCAATTTTAAATACTTCTCAATTTCATTATTACTTGAATAAAATCATACAGGGGAGAGGAATCAAAGAAAACTTATTGGACCAATTTACACCATCCTGAGTACAATTCTGACAGTTACATGTACCCATCAAACAAGTTTTATATGCTGGTGACATTTCCCACCACCATCCATGAATATGTTCTTCAGATTAAAGATCATATGAGCATCTTCCAGAGCATGCTGGGTGGGACTCCACGCTGCACCTCTACGTGTCAGCCTGTGCTGCTGCTGATGGGATGAGAAGCAGGAGCCTGGGAAGGACTGGAAGCGATACAACGTTAGCAGACTTCTGCCTGGCTAATCTACTTTGAGAAGCCACCGTCAGCATATCCAAGGTGGATATCTGAGCAAGCTGGATCAGACCTGTCTGCACCACCTCTTGCTGTGCAGACACACCCAGACACAAAGCAGAAGCTCGTACTCAAAGGACAGGGCCATTACTTGCAGCACATCTGCAGTCTGCCCTCCTCAGCAAGCACCATCTGTGCTTCTCCTTCAGGTTAGGTTACTTTCTGAGTCCGATTAACAAAATGTGGCCCACTCCTGATAATAAGGACAGGGGTAAGAACCACCATTACAGATGACACCTGAAGTCCCTCCAGTCTGGCATTCTGACCACAAGAAGGAAACACCCAAGGATACCTCTAATTACTTGTTTATATCCAACTTCTCCTTTTGTCCTCTCTTTGACTCTAAAGCATCTTCCAGAAACAACACTGGAGTAGCCCACACTTTGGTTTCTCTTTTAAGTACCTGCTACCTAAAGTGCAATGCTACTGATATTAGGAAATTAAGTCAAATTTGGTGCATCATTTTCACATGGGGGATAATGTATTAAAATTCATACCTCGTGCTGCTTCTCAGCAATATTCACTGCGTTTAAGGCAAAGATCACTTCCCTGGCTCCTACATATAGAACATTTTTGTCTTCACTTAACAGCAAGGTTGAATAGTTTGACACTTTTGATTCATTAAAATGTATTAGCTGGACCTCTGTTGAAATGGAAAAAAAAAAAAACAGCACCACATGAAGAAACACAATCACTTAGGTTCAAGTTTATGAGTCATTTTTTCTAAGTTGTCTAACAGCTGTTGGATAACTTGAAAACAACAAAGGTTAGTTCAGAAAATCCATGTAAAAAAAGACAAGGGACCCCTCAGAAGCTTGAGTCAGCAGAAACAGCAGTTCCACCACAAACATCAAAACCACTTGTCCACACTTTCTCATTCAGTGTCAAATGCCTAAATATTTCCTCTCGTGGTGATCCCTGTAACTCACTTCTTCCTTTATTTTTTTTCCTACCTGCTTTTTCTAAACTTCCATTTTCCATATCCACTGTCAAGTCCCTCCTCACCTTTTCCTTTCCACCAACCTACTGTGGAAAATCAGGTTTGGTCACCACATCTCCTGCAACCGCCCTGAACAAATCTCACAAAATATCCTGCACCTTAAGAGGACACTTCAGCATACTGCCACAGCAGAGGGAAGACACAGAAGCTAAAAGGAGAACATTTACAGATGGTCAATAATCTGAGAGTGAAACGAAAACCAGAGATGAAATGCACACAGTAGAAGGAAACAGCATGAGAGAAAACTCAAGATGAAAAGGAGGAAGATGCAAAACAGAGTGAGACATGAGAGAAAAGGCAGTGGAATGAGGAAGCTTGCAGACTGGACCAGAACAGCTTGGAGAAAGATGACACAAACTGACTAATATAAAAGAATGGGTTTTTTTCTGCATCTACAACCATAATGGAAAAATGAGACTACCACAAGATTAATCAGGCATGGTTTTTTTAAGATAGAGCTGAAAACAATGCATTATTGCTCAGTTCTAACACTAGTAAGTTGCACATTTTCAACTATAGTACTCATGAAACATTAATTTTAAACTAGATTCTCAAGAATGTAATTTTGAAATCTTTTACTTGGCAGGAAGATTTTCCCTAAGTGTATGAACTGGTTCCTACAACTCCACTGAACTGAAAATTCCCTCTCCCACTCAAAGTAGGTTTCCAATATTTAAATGCAACAATCTTTAGCAGACAGACACAGAGAATTAGCAGGAATGAAAATAAATTCCATTTATTTTCACTAATTTGGATGTGGGTCTGCAGTACATTACAGCAACTTGCCAAATTTTAACTACCATGAAAGATCTGAGCATCAAAGAGTCAAAGCAACTCCAAGCCTTGTCCAGACCACCCTTTCTGAAAAGCTTTGTCAGCAACTACCAATTGCTATACCAACACTTCCTACAGTCATCTCATAATCTGCTTATTCCTACTACATTCCTAATATCCATCTATCTTTTCCTACAGTAGGACTGTTCAGAATTTAATACTCTTATTTTAAGGTTGCTTCTTCACTTGGCCAATGTATTTGTTTGGCTTTGTTTAGTTATTTAACAATTGTTGCTTCCTAACTTATAGTTAAAGAGGACCTAAAACATGGAGAGAGGGAGGGGAGCAGGGAGAAAATGGAGAAAAAAAATATACATGCACAAACAGCAGCAAATAACTACTCTACAGCCCTTGTTTTAGAGTTCTTTTCAGACTCGGGTTAAATTATTAAGTCAAAGGCTAAATTATTCTCTGATTCCTATTATTTCTCCTGGCACCACATTTGCAGACCCCTGTAACTGTATTGGGAGGTTATGAATATTTGCTGCAACTTTTATACAAGAAAATCGGTGTTCTGTGAAAGATTGTTTCATATCTAAGCACCAGATAATGCTGGTAGAAGAGGGCCAAAGGCCTATTTTTCCTTTGCGTGGTGATTTACTTAGTGCACAGGTTGGCTTGGTGTCAAAATACATCTCAGCCTGAAAAAGTATAGAAAAGATTATTAGCTGGAGAGGTGCACTTTGCTAACATGTTCAGACTCAGAGTGAAGGTAATTTGTTTTAAACAAAATACACCTATTGGGTTTTTCTCTGGAAGCAAACTTAAGCTGCAAGATCCTTCTGCTGAGAAAGCCAAATGTGGAATTCCTCCTTTAAAAAGCTCTGTTTCCAGAGATGCTCAAAGGACCTGAAATCAGTTAAACCAATGCCCGAGTAATTTTTGAATTTTCTGGTCCTAAGCACTTCATAAACAGAGCAAAGCCAGCAACACCTGACCAAACTCACAGCAAACAGGCTGAAGGGAACAGAGGGCTTTTCAGTGAGTTTCACATCCCACAGAGACCCTGAAGCTGTGGAAATGTCCCGTATTACACGACTTCAGCTGCTGTTCTTACCTCTGTGCTCCCAAGTGATCCTCGGGACTGGGCCAAACGCTATCGCCACTTCTAGCAGCAAACCCCAAAGGGCATAGAAAGCACACAGAGCCATTTTCAGCGTCCTTGCTCTGAGGGTTCTCGGGACAAGCGCGGCAGGTAAGAGTCTCTTTGGCAGGCGAAACGCGAGTCCCGGGCAGTATCAGAGAGCAGGCATTTCAGACCCTGAGAGCAGGGCAACAGCGCGGGCTGGAACAACTGTACGAGTACGTGCTTTCTGGCAGATCACTTCAAGAGAATGCACATTTTCCAGGATGCTGCATACAGAAACTGCCCACACTCTCCACAGGCTGCAGAGCTGCTGAGAAGCGCGACCGAGCGCATTCTTCTGTTTCGAGGGAGAGACGAACGATGCTGCAGAGAGAGGAGGGGAGTAAGAAGCAGAAGATAAAGCAAACCAAATACTGCCAAAAATAGCCCTGGTCTTGCAGTACTTCTACAGCTGTCTGCATAGCTTAATTTGGATTAAAAAAAAATATGTATTAATCGATGAAAATAATATTTTTGAAAGCAAGACATTACATGGCAAATAGGCAGCAACTGAAAGGAGTCATTTCAATCTGGAATGCCAAGTATAAATATTCTGAATCTTCAGTTATGTTTGATGTACGAAATTTGACTGTAGTTTAAGTTCAGAGAGCAAAGGATGTGAGAAGTGCAGCATTAATCCTAAGCACTGGTTACACAAACCTGCTGTGTCTCCCATCCTCGGGATCCTACACAAGTGCCTTCTTTAATGAACTTTTCTAATGCTACTAATGCACTCAAGGTGTGTGGGGTTGACAGAAATACATCTACAGAAATGAAGAGCTAATATAAAATACAAAAATAAAGGGACAAAACAGTAAACTAGTGAAGGTGCTGGACAGTTCTGTGAAAGTCACTCTGAGTCACCCGATTCTGCCAGGCCCAGAAAGGCCTGTCCAAAACAATCAACAAACCTGTTCACTGTTTTCTACATCATCTTCCACAAGTCTCCCCTGCTCCTGCCTTCCTACAACCACTCCTAGGCGAAGGCTTAATAAGCACCTACCAGGAGAAGTGAGTGCATTCATCACTTACTAGATTATAGATAACTTTGGAGGGCTGTACACTCAGGGCAGCGTGGTGGTGAGAAAAGCACACTGTCCTTTGCAGCAGGGCACAGAAGACGATGGATTTTCACCGTGCCATTGCCTGGGAGACCAGCACAGCACCACTAAGAGACGTGCCACAATCCAAGACAGTCACAACATCTAGGGGTGATCCAGCAAGAGGGCAAGCAAAGGTTAAAAAATCATTAGTAGCATTAAAGAAGAAGGGGCCAGTACTTGAGGAACACAGAATCAAAAAGACTGGGATGAAGCTACAGCAAGGGCATCTCCAAGCACAGTCAAGCCTCTGGGAAGGAGAGGTCCCAGGTTTAAGCTGGCAAAGGCAAGTTGGAGCCTCTGGAAAGTGCAGCCAGCAGATCTGCAACAAATGCAGAAGTAACATGGCTGAGTAGACAATGGGCAACTACATCTGAAGTGTTTACATCTGCTTTACTAAATGACCACAGGTAAGATTAAAAGATTTAAATACCTCATCTGCTCCTATAAATCTTTTGTCTTTTTACTAAGAGAAAGACCCGCACAAGACCACAACTTGCTCAAACTGAACCTGTGATATGAATTTTTTTTTCAGGGGTTTGGTTTTTTTTTTTTGTTTTGTTTTTTGTTGTTGTCATCTCGGTAAGCAGCTCAGATCAGATCCAATTGTTTGTAGCAAATCGTGTGTATAATTTTGTTTTTTTAAGGCATTATATTATCAGTTAAGCTGACTAGGCTTGTTTGTCTGTCATTCTCCCTTCCTGTTTATCATCATACATAACAAATTCCACATTTGGTCTTCAATAAGTTAAAAAGTCCTCATCAAAGTAACAAGGTATCACATAAATATATTGTGTTTAAACACACAGCTTTACAGGTGAGTGTTTAAAAGCAAACAGCAGTTCAGTCATTCAGTTCAAGGCAGTTTGGCAACTTTAATAGAAATGTATGGGGGAAAACAGCACTTTGAAGAAAAGATCTTTGAGCCATTATTTCTACACACTGCTAATTCTTTATTTCCTGCTACCTTTAGTTACTGAAAAGACTCCATGTAATAATTCCCTGTTAAATATGTTTTGGGTTGTTTGTTTGTTTTTCTAAAAGAGCCAGGACACCTATAAGCTCTAACTTATGTACTACACCACATGGTAGAGAGACGACTCCAGAATAATTCTAAAGTCCTACAAATTTTCTGGACTTTAAAACAGGACTAGCAAATGCAAGCACTAAAGGAAAAAACCCTGAGTTTCCCCTACAGCCATGCTTACATTCCTAGCCTAGCTCCCCCCCCTCAGAAAATGCAAAAGCACAACAAAACCTGAAACAAACGACAGTTTCTGCTGAAGAAGACAAAAGGTCTGGCTGGACTGCTTTAGCACCCGCTTTGCTGTGCGGACTGAGAGTTGCTCTGGCCATACAAAGTGGAAATCTGATTTCATTCCTACAGTACAGGCTTGCAAGACAGGTCCTTTTTTTCACGTTAATAACTCTGACTTATTAAGTGGGACATTATTTGTTGATCTGTGCTAAAATTTTGCATGTTATAAAAAGGGGTGAAACACACTGCAGTGAATGTTACATGCCCAATTGTGCAAGATCCACTTTGTTCTCACTTCTATTACTTTAAATAGAGACGAAAATGCACTCAGGACCTTGTCCTTTAATTTAGCCTTCAATTTAATTACTCTCCCTTACCCCTCCCTTCCCTGTGCTAAAAATTATCCTTCACTGACATCTAATGGGAAGTCATCCATAATCTAATAGGAACCTCTTTTTATGTAACACAAGGGGTAGAAAAAGGAAAAACCAAAAAAAAAAAGGCCCAGACAATGGCCTGATTTCCAAATTAACTCAGTTCCATTAGCGTTCAGTGGCTTTGATTAGATCTGAGTGCTTTGCACTTCTGAAAAATTAGAGCTCCTAATGTTTTAAGTTTTACTCCAAAAAACGAGCCACAATTTGCTTGAAAATAAGAACACTGAAAAAGTAAAAGAAACCTGAAATGCCTGGTTACATACTTAAACTCTAATTAAAAGTGACCACAGGCCTGCTTTTCTGTAAAACCATTAACAACTTTCTGAGGTAAATTTAAATCAGTAATTTTAGTTTACACACTCTGGCGATGATTTTACATCAACGTATACTGATGAAAGGGAGCAAAATAACATACATTACCTGCAAGAGTTTTCCATAATGCTTGTGCCTATGGTGGCTAAAAACAGGGCAACTATAGAAGAAGAAACAAGCTCAACAGAGCTCCTGTCAGTTTGTCACAGCACAGCTGGAAGCTCAGAGCTGCGAACGTTCCCACTCACACGTATGATTTTAATGCACAGGCAGAGAAACAGCTAGAGCCAACTTCCTGCTCTCTCACAGGACAGAAAATCAAAGCTGCTGGAAAAATTTCAGGCTGCAAAACTGCTAATAAGTAATATTAGCACGAATTATGAAAGCACAGAGTTGCAGTGGCATATACTGACTATTACCAAGATCAAAAACTTGTCTCTCACACCGCCTGTGTCACTGGGCATCAAAGACAAAGCGCATTGGTCCACCCTCTGGAAAAACGCAAAACACTAGCCCTGCAGTGGGAGAAGCTGAAAAACCCAACAGTGGGAAGGAGACTGCCATGTTTACTTCACAGAAGAACCTGTGAACATCTTTCAGAGATGTCAATTCAGCAACCCTTACCAATACCCAGGATTTTTTACAAGTAATGCAAACCAGAGGCCAGTGTCTTCTTCCCCAGTCAGCAAAGTAAAGGTGGATCCAAGTGTGTATCTCGTATGCAAAAAGTCTTGCACAAGTTATCTAAATTCTGGACTTTCAAGGTTAAGAAATACCTGATTTCACAACACTGGTTTTGAAATATTCTTCCTTCTAAGAAATACTTAGCTGCATTGTGCAACTTCGCAGTTTGGCTCAATATTACACACGCTGCTAAGTGGATCTATCTTTATTTTCTATATGAAGGTTAAAAACACAGGAGAATTTACTAACATACCAATAAATGATCATGACCACCACAGAGCATCCTGCCTCTCCCTGCAGAAAGCCAAACGAGCCCTGGCCCTCCTGGCCTAATTCTGTCACCCTTTTCAGGATTCCCCAGCCACACTTAAGTGTTCCCATCATTTTCCTCCCATTTTGTATTGCACTTAGTTCTCCTCCACAGGGTTTATCTTTCCTTGCAATCCCTCACCTACTCTGTGCTTCTGCTCCCACCCATGCTATCACAATCATCTTCTTCCCCAACGCAAGCAACGCGCAACTACGTGACCAGAGGTGATGCCAGCCCCCAGCGAGGCTGCCAGGCAAAAGAGCACCTTCCTTTGGGCTCTAAGGAAGGCTCTCTAAAATGTGTTCTTCCCCAGCTCTCCACCAAATCCCTTTCACACCACTCACTGGTTCTCCAGGCACAGCAAACGGGGACCTCACAGTAAGCAACAACCCTTCCTTTCCTACTGCCAGGAGCGAAAAAACACATGGCAGGTCTATCAGGCAACCTACCCTGATATTGTTAGAACAAAAAAATTAAAAAATTATGCATTTGCAAAACTTGTATGTTACTATGATGGGGGATATGAAGCTCAATATGCAGAGGCAGGCAAATTTGTGAGCAAAGTGCTTCCTCCAGCAGAAAAGGGAGGGGTTAAAGGATTCAACTGTCAGAGGGCATAAATTGCACGTTCTCCTTAAATAACTTTCTTTTGAAAGCTTATGAAGCTTTCACAGAATACAGGCCTGCCTCAATGTTCACTGATACCTTTTTCATAACCTTTGAGAGCCCAGTATGATTTACAAAGTTCACGAATTTCAGACCAGTAAGGACAGGCTAGATATACCCTTGGCTTTATTTCTCACCCTTTCCAAACCCCAAGCACAGTGCCATTTTTAAACAGTCTCATGAAAAACATCAGTATTTACAATCCTTTCATTACAGAATACATTTGGACTCACTTTCTGCTGAAGTAAGGCACAGCCTCAAACTAGCACACCAGTAGCCCTTTATGACTAACACACATGTAGAGGATGGGATTATTTACATTTCAAACTGTAAATGAAACACTTTGTAGTTGCTAGGTGCTTTAAAAATGAGGCAAAGATTTTTAAGATAATTTGATGTGGTCTTTATTTCTACTGCAAAGCCTTCTGCAGGATGTGCCCTAGTGCTAAAAGAGGATAACATTTCTGAGGAAACTAAGATTCCCAGTTTTAGGCCAGAAATTAGTATTTTCTGATTCTGCATGATAAATGTGCTTAATCAAGCAGTACTCAGGGAAATAATGCTTGTGTTTAAAGCAGAGAATATCTTTATCTTCAGTGGAATATTTAAAGATATTCCTTTTTTTTTTTTTTTAAATTCCTTTTCTTTTACTACCATGCTCTCTCTCTGGGGCTGAAGATTACACAAAGATAAAGTATTATGCAAAAAAAAATTAAATTACAAGATAGATAGGAGATTTAAATTCTTATTTTTCAGATTACCATGGGCAGATCATTAGAAACAGGCTTCAATTTCAAAAAGCAACAGGAAAGAGCTAACTAACTTGGATGCTGAGCTATCCCAAATACAAAATTCAAGAGCTCCCCAGGGCATGTTCTAAGACCCTCTTCTGCCTCACTGGGTACTCTCGGATACTGACCCCAGGTTGTGACAGTGTCAGTGCTGCACCGAAAACCACTCAAATGAGCTTGAAATACAGCCCCTAAAATTCCAAGTTCATATTCCCCTACCACCTAAACATACTGCCACAATCAAAAATGTTGCTCAGTTTCATTCTCATTTCTTTTGGGGCTCATAGGACTGAGTGAGTCACTCAAGTTATTTGAAGATGCCCACTGGCAACTACTGGCACTCGTGAAAGTATCTTCTGCATGTCTAAATTAACAGGCACGTGTGCTTCCAAAAAAACTATACTCAGTGTCCAGCAACACTTTCAGAGTCAAACATCTCCAAAAGCAGATCCAATACCCCCTCATAACACAAACTGCATAACACAGGGAAGCTGCAATCCTGAACGTGACCATTCAGTGGTAAATGAGGAACAAGTAAATTCATAGTAAGTTTCCAAGTGGAAATATCCCATTTCCTGCTAAGTTTCCTGAGTATTTTGATCTTGGAACAAAAAGAAAGCAATAAATTAAGCTTATAATAAACCCCCTTATTTACATTTTTCAGCATGCCCTAAGTCCCCAGTTTTCTTGCAGTGTGTTTATTTGTTCTGCTAACAAAGACATTCATCATAGAGTCACCATGAACCCACCACAGTGCCCCTTTGCTGGGGTGCTGCACCTCTAGTTTCACTACACGTACCTGCCAGCCTCTGGAGCCTCCTGCACAACCGGGAGCTGGGAAGCAGTCAGAAGCACGTCCTTTCTGAGAAGAGAGAAGAAACAGGCCTTGACATCATTACCACATAAACCTGAAGGGCAAGTTCTGATACGGGAATTATAATAAATCCTCCCCCAAAAGTTTGGCTTTTACTTCCCAAGATTACCAGGGCAGACCATTCCTGACAGAAACCAGACATGCTACATTTGCATGCAACGGATCCAAGATCCTGACACTGCCCTTAACACAAAAAAAAATATTAAGCAGACCTGATAAAAAGCACACACATCAAACCCTCTTAAAATTTAATTTGTTTCTCCTATCCTAAGCTGCTTGATAACTACTTAGTATGAAATTATTCAGCATTTGCACTGCAGTAGCAACTATTTATACTGTTTAAGAGTCTGGGACCCTTCCTGTGCTGGTGCAGGGTGTACTAGAGGAAGCTCAGAAAGGCTAGAAAACCAGCCAGCCCCACAAACAACTCCCTTTACTAAATCTACATAAAGGAGCTCCAACACCCTCCTGGATTACCGAACAACTGCATTATGCACAAGCTTAGAAAAGAGTATCTGGATATTTACGACAAAACCCTGCAGGCTTGTACGTATTTTGCTGTCATCACAGGAGAATAGAGGGCCACTCCAAAACAATCACAACTGGGCACAATGAGGCATTTATCCAAAGACTCCTGTAGGTAGCACACTTCTCAATGTGTAGACTCATAATACCATTACATCAGACTGTGTTTAGCATATATACTTCCTGCTGTTCATCCCAGAGCTTTCAGAAGGGTGTGAGCCATGTAAAGGGGTGGAGCTTCTCTAAATACAAGTCACCGTGGGTTTGAAGTAGATTTCACTCAGCAATACGGGGGTTCCCAGAGATGCAGGTGGGAAGGTGGTGCACCTAAAAAACCCCCACATTCTCCATTGCACGTGTGAAGGCTTCGTTCTTGATCCAAAAGAGTATAATGGCTTAAAATACAGAGGTCCCATAAGAAACAGGCCAAGAAAAACTACAAGAAACAGCTCAATACTTCAAGGTCTCCAAGGAAAGGGAGAGTCTATACAGAGTCTTCTTCAGGGAGTTTCAACATGGCTACCAGTACAGCAGCTGTTATCAAACAGCTAGATCAAACCTCCTTGTGCTTTTAAAACAGCATTTTCAGCTATTTTCTGGGTCTTTTGTGCCACAGAGAAGGGAATCCAGTCTGATTCTCACCACAAACTTTTTTCAACAAAACACCCCACAGAAATTCATTGCCCATCTATGTTATTACCCACCAGCTATTTTTCACAAGCATTGGCAGAATATAACTGACTTAACTTTTGATGTAAAAACAACCATGCACCTTTCATTCTGCTGGAAAAAAAAAAACAGAGCAGGCAAACTGCGAATCATCTGACCAGCTATGAAGCTCTCCATGAACCAACTTGCACCAGATCATCCCAATGGCTCTACAGCTACTCAGTATTTAAATGAACACTTAAAATTTACCAAAAATTGCAGCCTGCCACAGGAGGCTACCAAACAGTGTAGTCACTATCACTGCTGGAGTTTTCAGATCCTGTATGTTTCCTTATAGCTTACTTCTTGCAGAGCAAACTATAATCACCTATTTTAGCTGCAGATACCTTAAGGTAAAAAACCCAAAATTCTCTTTTGCCTCTCTCTAGCAGCCTGTGCTTGTAGGAGCGCTGTCACTGTAACAAAACACTTGCATATAAATGAACAGCTACAGTAGGTGTGAAACTCCTCAAAGCAAGTTAGATGACCTGTATACTTTATTAGAGTTTTTCAAGTCTGCACAAGTTGCTCTGAACTTGAGCTGGGGTTTGAGGCCACTGAGGACCTGAAAGCCGGGTGGAGAGACAGAAGATCCACCATCACTTCCGAGATGTGGCACCTCAGCTCAAGAACTCAGTTCCCAAGAGCAATCCATCCATCCCTCCTCGGTGTGGTATTTGGGAAGGGGCCACTAACCAGCGGTGTTTCTGGACACGGGGCTGGGTGTGAGGGCGGCTGGGCTGAGGTGAAGGGTGGTTTGCAAGCAGGGGCTGGCTCCTCTCCTTTGATCAGACTGCCACCGCCGGCCTGTCCGGACACCACCTGTAGCCACGCTACACACATGAGTAACCACTCACAGCTGGCTGCCAGAAGCTCTGACACAGTTGAGCACTTCAATCCAACCAGGACTTGAGTAGGAAATTAAGATCCATGCAGGCACTGCAGACTGGCACACATCCTCCAGGTCCTCTTGCTGGACCCAAGCCTCGCAGGTGATCCCTTACAGCAGGCACTGTAGGCACTGTTAGGCTGCCAAATAAACCTTACACCCAGTCAGGTTTTAAGAGTATTTCAATACAAACTTAAAGGGGAAAAAAACCCACAAAACAACAAACAACTTCTTCTGGTAACAATTACTTAAGCTTGGGGGGGGGAAAATTACACCACGAATAGCTCGCTATTTTGACAGCTGTGACTAAGTCCTCAAAGATTAAAGAAAACACCTACTGGATTATAAATGAAAGACAACCTGGAATACATTAATGCAGAATAAAAGGACAGCCACCTTAAGGAAATTTTTCATAAAAGATCCACAATCCTTCATATGTGTATGTATGAATATACTTTATTTATTTGAAGATGTTCTTCTAATCTGTCAAATTCCAAAGCATATTAATCTACTGCAAGGTACTTCTGGTTGTCACAGCCTACTTGTATTTAAAGAAAAGAGGAAATTCAAAGAACAACACATAATATGTACTCCTTTCCCTTCTGCACATCAATTACCATCCAGATCACCAGCATTTCTTTCATTCTCTACTCAAGCATATGCCTGCTGTAACCAGGTCCTTGTGATTCTAAATAGAGAGGAAATACCAGAAAACCATCTTACAAGCAAATTTTGTTTACCCTGAGAACTCTTTGGGAGACCAGAACCCTTTGGAGGCCAAGTTCTAAGTGTGGGACTGTTTCCAGTATCACAGCACTGCACACAGACCTTACCGAAACACAATTTCCAGATAAATATCTTGATGATCACAACCAGAGGTATATTTGCTTCCCGGAACTCAAGTCAGCCATAATCTACATGCACTGGCTTTCTCAGAAAACCTATTTTAAATGCTTACATGGAAGCCACAAATAAAGCCAGCACAGAGGTATGAATAACTAAGGCTGCACACACACTGCCCACAGATGGTCTGTCACTACAAAGTTTCCCTGTGTGTGGTTTTAGAGTCTTAAAATAATTGCACGAAAAGGTAGGCCAGACAACAAGAACTGTGCACAGCACCAGTGCTGTATTTCAGTAATGGGTCTGACATACCAAAATAGCTGTTGCTGACACTGCCACCACTTCCACTGCTCGCACCCTCTCAGGATGGGGCTGGTGATTCTATCTGCTAACCCCCCTGTGCAAGACACTGTGGAGACAAGAGGTGGGCTGGGGTGGGGGGGGTCAAGTAGCAAACACCCCACACGGTTTACAGAGCAAAGACTCATATGTTATTCCCCCTTCCTACCTGCAATGCTTCACTTTTCATGAAAGCATCTTTATTTCACAGAACCATGTGGAAATATGGCCTATCAACACCCCTCAACTTGGAAAAGTTACGTGAAGGAGCTTTAACCTGCGGCAGGGGCCCATGCTAAACACAGTTTTGAAACAACAAAGCAGAAAAGCCCTCTCACGTCAAACAGTCACTTCAACCTAGCCCAAACCGTGCTGGCATCTTTAGCTTTCAACTCCCCAGGACACCCTGACACTCCTCAGATCTCACAAGCACCCTGAAAAAAGCCAAGAACAACACTGAGACTATCATGAAGGCAGAGAGTTATGAATACCTTGTGTGTCCCAATGGCAAAATACAAATATCAGGGCTGGGCCAGCTACTGCAGAGATAGGATTTTCTCCCATTTTTAAGGATATGAAGTGATTCTATAATTAAGCCACCTAACTTCCATAAAACTGAACAAGAACATTCATGATACTATCTGTGCATCCCAACCATTCCTCAGGAAAGGATCTGAGTGTGTTTCACAATTCCAACTTTATTCCAGTTACAATACCTTACAAATATCAACACAGGGTTATTTTAATCCAAAACATAGTAGGGGTTCTGAATCAAATTCCAGCAAAAACAGAGAACACACAGCACAACTGTGTGAGACCAAAAGCCACACAGCATGAGAGAAAGGAAAGGAGGACGCACATCTGCATAAAGAAAGTAACACTCTGGCTTCAGATTGAACTTTTTAAACCACCACTTAGGGGACATGTAAAATTTTTATGTACTTGCACAGCACTTGCTAGGGAAGCAAATGTTCTTTCAGAAGCAACAATAGGATATTCTGGTCAATAAACAACATAGCCTTTGAAGAGCAGAGACCATTAGGAGCACCTCTATATTCAACGATTTTTTTACTGCAACAAGATCAGTACCAAGGAGACAATCACCTCTTCTTTCATCATAAAATCCAATACAATCCAGGTCTCCTTCTCCTTCTAAAAGGAACAATCCTGAAAACTATTTGCTGGTTCAAAAAACCTGAAGAAGAAACAGCACATGATCCTCCAAATCTTACTCTTAAGTATTCAGTGAAAAGTAACAGAAAACAAAGTCTAAATTCTGCCTGTATTTTTTGCTCATGTTCTTTAATGGAATAAATGAAGCACACTATAAGAAAATCAAGAGTTAAACACCTCAAAACAACCACCTGTCTTACCCAAAAGACTATCAGCTGCCAATCATGTGGAAACACCTCCTAATATTAAAAAATGAATGGATGTTATCTATTTCCATATTCACCCTAACACAATCACCCAGAAAAGCTAAAACTAAAATGAAGATGCTGTATTGTACCACCTGCTTTAGTAAGAGCTTAAATCACATACTTTGTCACTTTCAGAGAACAATTTTTGTTGCTTTTCAGCTATTTATTTTGACACTACTTCGGTTTTTTACTTTCTGATTCTTTACATAAACTGCACTTACCACTATTTACAGGTGATAATCTGAATGCATTCAGGAGAATTA